TTATTTTTATTCGCTCATAGATTTTATCAGTTTATAACCCCCTTCACAAGTTTTCTGTTAGCCTTAGAATAAAGCCCAAACATCCTAACATGGCCTGTGAGGTCTTCCTGGCTGTTGCCTTCCTCTCACTTTCACTTTTTGGTAATTCCTCCTAGATGCCAGGTAAAAAGTCACTTTCTCAAGGAAGTCCCTTCCTTATCTCATAACTGTTAGCATAATGTCCTCACAGCCTTTGGTACTTTCCCTACCATAGTCCTTCTGCACTGAGACAGTGTCCCTCTGTGGGTAGTGATCTACTAATTAGGAGGTACTATTGTCATTCAGGGTGTAGGGCTGAGGGTGCTAGATGTTTACCATTAAGAATTGTCTTAAGCACTACATGTCTTTTAAATGTCCCACTAGATGGTCACATGGGTGACCAAAAAAACCCTGTTTTTAACTTTTAAAGACCCTGTTTTTAACTAGACAGAACCTAGAATCTAACACAATTTTGCATTTGTACATGTAATTTTTTTTAGTATGTTTAATTAAATGCTGAGTATTCCAGGAACAAAACTACTGTGTTCTTGAAGGAAGATTGTACCTTGTTTTTGTTTTTGTTTTGGAATTCTACCAAGAGTTGTTCATCATTATAGGAAATCACGTCACTGATGGCAACATTTATCACATTCATAGTGATTCACCATATAGGTGAAAACATCTGACTTCTCAGTAAATATTTGTTTGAATTTAATTGAAATTAAAAAAAAAACAACTCTGAACCAGATGGGGGAAAGGCACTTCTCTCTTTCCTGGCAGAATATATTTGCTTTTCTCCCTCTTCCTATTGCACTTCATTCACATACTTCATAGACAGAGCATCTATCTGTCTCACTAAATGAGAACTTAGTGAGGGCAAGAAGGATATTTTATGGACCTTTGAATCTTTAACACTCACTGAGCACATGGTAGTTGCTCGACTTAATATTTACTCAGTTGAATTCATAGCAGCAACAATAGTATTTATTCAACAACTATTAAGTCAAATTCTGGTAGGCAACAAAGGCAAAAGGACACTGTCCCTGCTTTCAAAGAACATAAGAACTAATACTAAAAACAGATCTGGAAATAATTATAATGCAATACCACTTTCTAAGGCAGAAAAAGCTATAAACTACCCATACATAATGGGAAAAAAAACCACACACACTTTAGTCTTGTGGGGAGGTCCTGAAATAATATCACAGAAGAGAAATAGTATCTAGTATCAATTATAGTGCCAAGGAAGACTCGTAATAAATAGTTGGAAATTGAACAGTTGAGCATAACTGAAGAATAAGAGGAGTTTGCCAAATGGCAGCACTTAGTGAGGGCATTCCAGATCAGCCGTCCCTGTTCATATGCTCAGAGGAATGAAAGGTGCAGTTGATATTGCCACTGGAGCATGAAGTTGGAGGTTGAGTGGCAAGATATTAAAGCTGTACCTGGAGGTGATGTACTAGATCGTGAAGAGCCTCTTCCTTGAAGAGAAGTTAGATTTTATCTTGCAGGTGGTAGAAACCATTGATGTAACAACTAAAACTATTATATTTTAAATCATAGTATATGCCAAGCAGGTGCCTATAATCCTATTACAGAGTTGGTATATCCTCATTTTATAGTTGGGGAACAATAGCTCAGAGAGATGAACTGTTTAGGTTTTCACAGCTACTAAGTGGAAGAACTAGGGTTTAAACTTAGGTGGGTTGGATCCAGACCTCCTGCCTGCTTTTTAAACTATATTTCACAGCCCCTTCAGTAGGAAAGAAACTAGATCATTTTTACATTTATCAATCAGTCTGGAGTCTTCACATCATTCTCAAGTAAGTCCCTTTTTTATGTGAATTTAAATTCTTAACAGTTTGGACACTAAATTTTAGTCTTCTGATGGCCCAAAATGATATCTTAAGTAATTTACCTCTTGCAGGATACTTTTTATTTCTGGTGCCATTTTCTATCTAGATAGTCCAAATAACTCTTGGCTTATTGAACTACTTTTTGGGGTGGGGGAGTGTCACCCTTGAATATTATAGACCAATCAACATGACTTAAGTACTCTAAAAGAGAAAAATTTGATATGCTACTGCCCCCGCTTTTGAAACATTTAAATCTGTCTTCAACATGCAAAAGGAATATTTAAAGAAAATCCAATATTAATCTTAATATTCTATTTAATTAATATAGATATAGTTTACTATTTAAATTATTTCTGCCTCATAGTTCCAGTGTGCCTAGTTAGCTTGAAGTAGTTCAGACATTCTCTAAATGAATGTGTGATTGCTTGGCTACCCTATAATAAGATTCTTCCTAATTTTAAAGATTATTAAAATGTAAATTCTAGAGATATGGATGATAATAGTTGCACAACGAGAATGTACTGAATGCCACTGAACTGTACAACTAAAACATGTTAAAATGCCAAGTTTTATAATTAATAATATTTTACCACAATTTAAAAAAACGTGGGATAGAAGTGCAAAGTGGCCTGACATCTCTTTTCAAGACATTACCAACCAAATATTTTTGAGAGCCTTTTGTTGCAGATAATTTGAGTAAGATGTAAGGGAACAGTTTATCTCAATTTTCCTTATCCCATCACCATAGGCTGATCAAATCACATATTCTTAATACTAATCTATTTAAAAAGAAAAAAAGAATTTTGTTTATTTGAGTGCAGGGATAAAGAAGGAAGCGGAGTAAGGATATTACGGGACAGTCATCACGAGGGTGGATATGGGAAAGATGCCTTTGAGTGCTACTGACCGACCCCTCGCTTTAGTTTCTTGTTCAAAAGGGAAATGAAGGAGTTAAATAAGCTTTCCAGTGTCACCTCCACAGGTGTGATGTGCATGTCGCAACTCCAACTTATAACTAAGGCTCAGACTTTTAGGTTCCCCACCCTTCCCTATCCCAGTTCCCTATCCCAGTGCCAGGAGAAATTAAATTTTTACCCATTAGATTGCAAAAAAATAATTAATGTGCTGGTGGAGATGTGGGGAACATATTATTGGTGAGTGTGAACTGCATGATTTTTTGGAAAGTAATCTGGTAATAACTTCAAAATTTTTTAGTACACATACTTTTGGCCTAATAATTCTACTATGTTGCCGCTACTGTGTAGGGATATTAATACAAGAATGTTTTTTGCTGTGGTGTTAGTTGTGGTAAAAAAAAAAAAAGTAAAAGCAACCTAGAAGCCAATCCGAAAATGGTTGAATAAATTGTGTTTTATCGATTCTAAAGACCAATGTGATCTGTTAGAATGTGAGTTACATCTGTATGCATTGGCTTGGAATGATGGCTTTGCTATATTATTTATGTTAAAAAATTATACAGTTAATAATGTAGTATGATCTTTAAAAAAACAACTATGTGTGTGTTTGAAAAATAGAGAAAGGTGTGAAAGGATTTTAAAGCTTTCTAAAGTTAAAAAGGAGAAAAGAGGGAGGGGAGACCTGTAATGATAGAAATTATAGAGATTACTTTGGGGTGGGTTGATGACAGAATGGGTACAAGAAAACCCTGGGTACAGGTAATCTGTATCTTGATGTGGGCATTGGTTACACAGGTGTGTTCACTTTGTAAAAATCCATCTGGTTGTATGCTTATGATACAGGTTTGTGTATATATTATACCAATAAAATTTATTAAAATTATGTCACAGCAATACAATGGAATACTATTATGTTTTTTAAATACTTTAAATATTTACTATGTAAAGTTGGGCAAGAAACAGGACAACCCTATTATAATGTATATATAAACACACAAAAAGACTGGCTAGAAACACTACAATGTTATTAATATGTTCAGGTGATCCTTTTTTTAAGGACAGTTTTAAATAAGGACAGTTTTGGGGGGATTCATTGTTTAGGAAGGTTGTAGAAGGTGGTAAGCAAAGCTGGATTACAGAGCCTTAAGCAGAAAATAAGAGTGAAGAAAGAGAGGGGGAATGTTAAAGGAAAGAAAAATAATGCTAATGAGAAAGGTGTAGTAAGGTCAGGTAATTTTTTTTAACCCCTACCAAGAAGGTACTTCTAACTAGGAAGGGACTAATTTCAGCTGTCAAAGCATCCAGCTGTAGTAGGGCCACATGAAAAATCCTCTCCTTTAGCAGATTCAATTTGGTTTTTGCAAATAATTAACACTTTATATTTAAGTTTTGGTTTTGTTTAAGCATTTAGTTTTAATGAAACCGTCATTGATATAATAGTATCAATTGATTATGCAACTCTTAGTACCTTAAAAAACCTATATTCTCCTCCTAATCTTTACTGTATTTACGATAACTGGCTCATATCTTTTTGTCCCATAGTTGCACATGGGGCAAATAATACCTCCCCAGTGAGAGAATCAAATTTAAAAAATGTATATGAAAACACGTTAATCAAATTAAACACTATCAGTTGTATATTTCAGTATTTTTTTTGTTTTTCCTTCAGCCCTAAACCCTTAGGTATGAAAAGCGGTTATTTCAGATGGAATTTATTTCACTTAATGAGTTCAAAAGTTGAAGTTTAGGAAAGAATGCATTTTAAAAATCAAGTTCTGCAAATATAAATGCAACATTTAGTGTTAAGATGTGGGTTGTAATTGTAGCGCATTTTTAATATTTTAGACCAAATATTAGTATTCAGTGATTTTATATCAAATTGAAATGTAAACGTTTTTATTTCTTTTAAGTATTGGATATCGATCAGGAGAATTATTAGGGTGTGGTTTTTTTTTTATTTCAATCATCCAGTTTTCACCATAAAGGCTTTTTTTTCCCCTATATGAATCATCCTTCATTTTTCACCATGTTAACTTAAAATGCCTAATAACCAAAACTAGATCTTTTCAGGTGTTTCGCGGGAAGTGATAAGGATTTGACTTTTAATTAGCCTTTAAATCAGTAATAATCTGAAAAGAACTCGAGTTGGATTGGATTGGAGAAAACTGCGTGGCATTAGGACCCAGGGGGCTCCCGTGAGCGGATCTAGGGGCCAGATTGCAAATTCGCGGTGACTCAGTCTGGTCGGCTCCTTGCGCTCGGCGGCCGCGGCGGCAGGAGCAGCAGACATTGGCGGCTGAGCCGCAAGGATCAGTTCCCCGGGTTTCGTGGTCCGAGACATCCTTCAGGGCGTCCAGAAAGGTCCGAGGCGTTTGGGGAGCGCAGGGGCCGTTCGGGCGGGGAGAAAGGCGTTGCTTGGCGTGGGGAGCCCACGGGCCTGTGTTTGGGGAGTAACATTTGCTCTGTCTCTTCCTGTGTCTGGCTTTATTTGCAGCAAACCAAAATGGAGTATGAGTGGAAACCTGACGAGCAAGGGCTTCAGCAAATCTTGCAGCTGCTGAAAGAGTCCCAGTCTCCAGACACCACCATCCAGAGAACCGTGCAACAAGTATCCTTTCTGAGGCCTCGCCGCCGCCCGCGCAGCTCGGCCAGCGCGGGCCCGCTCCTCCGGCGGGGTGGCTCCCTGCCGCCCCTCCCCCTCCTTTGCTCCCCGGATCCCTCCGCCCTCCGTCCTCCTGCGGGGAGAGGCGCGCCCGCCGCTGCCCCTGCCCGTAACCTCGCGCACGCGGCCCTGGTTCTCCGTCCCGGGCGCCGCCGGTTTCCGGCCCGCGCGAGGCAGGGGTTGCGGGCCGACGCCCGTGATCACGACGTGTGCACCGGTCGGGTAGCCACGTCCCTGCCCGCCCACTGCTGACCTGCCAAGGGGGTAGGAAGTGGCGCGGCCAGCGTGGCCCGGGTTCAGACCCCCGGGGCCCCGGCCCACACAATGCGCTCGGCGCGTTGGGGCCTGCGGGCTGTGGAGAGGCCAGGTGGAGGGCGCTCTGAGAACGGCTGGGCTCGTCCTCGCAGCGTCCGCCAGAAATGGGGTGGAGCTGGCGCGGGGTTTGAACTGCCGGCGTGTTGGGCCTGGGGTTACTTCCATGCGCTTCCCCTAGAAGAGTTGGAGACCTAGAATTAGGGAGCTTCAGGCCTCACCCCAGGACTGTTCATGCTGACACCTGTTGCAAGCTCCCAGGCTCCCAAATTAGATTTTCTTTTTAAATCTTTGGCTCAAGGCTGTTCACTTATACAAGCTTTTACGGAGTTTGCTGGTGTAGCGGTCCTATTGCTACGGTTTTGGACACAGAAAAAGTTAAGAGAAGAAGGAAAACCTTCCTTAGGTGTTTTTTTGTCATGCCCTAAACTGTGGATATCGGGTGAATTCTTGGAGCCAATAAAGGAAACTGATTTATTCACCTGACATAAATAACCTTTTTATCCCTGTTAAGACCAAAGAAGTTAATTCTAAAAAATAAAAATAAAAAACAAAAACCCTTTAAGGCAGCTCTTTTTTTTTGCAGAAAAAGCCTCTTGGTTGGTTTATTAGGAATTTGTAAGTCAGTTCTTTCAGTGTAATTTGGGCCTATTTACATTGTAAACATGTAAAAGGGAAGTTATGTGTACATACACACTTATGTACCTAAATAAGTATATATATCAATTACATGAAAAGAAAGCGCCGGTAAATTTCTAAGTAGTACTGCATTGCTGTAACTTAAAATCTTCAGTAGATAAGTAAGTACTTAGCTTCTTGGTTAAAATGGTGCCCATTTAAAAATGGAGGTCTGCTTGAAATTTTTATAAAGCTATTTCTTTTGAATACTGTTAATACCAAGAGAAGAATAGTTTTGGGGTGTATTGGAGCTTGTATCCTCATCTTATTATGGCTCAGTCTTAATCTGTGTTACAGCTCTGGGAATGATAGAAGTTGATACTTAATGACAATTATATGACAGTTATTAAGTTAGACAAGCCCCAAACCATACTGTAATTCTTAATACAGCACTGAATATCAAAATTTCTTGTTTTAGTATGTATTTATTAAATACTTTTTATATGCCTGTGCTTGGGTTAACAATAAAATTTAATGTTTATTCTGTGTGCCTGGAGCATTGTATGCCGTCTATCTACAGGACAAGTTAAATTTTAGTAAGTAGAGGCGATCAGTTTTTAAAATCTGCACTACTTTATATTTTCAAAGTGCCTAATGATGGCCTTGTTTTTTTGTGTCTCTCTACAAAGGAATGTATTAGTGTTTTTATGCTGGCTTGAGCACTTTTTGAAAGATCATTATAATAGTATGGATAGATAGTGCCAGTTGTGAGAAAGTAAACCTTAGCAGGTATTTATGAAAAATTTATTAGCCTATCAACATGCTTTCAGTCTTGGCCATTCACTAAAAAAAGAAATCATTGCGTTTTTCTTGGTCAAAGAAAGTATCACACTGTGGAATTTTTCTAGATAGTGATTTTGGTAGTTAATTCACATTTTGACCACCATAACATTGAGATATTCTAGTATGTAATAAATAGATAGTACAGTGTACCTTGTGTTTATATCATGGGTTTAATTTGAAAAAGAAAAACCCACAGGTCCATTGAGTAAAAACATTTGAATATTTCTGTCCATTAAAACATAATCAGGGATGTTATTAAAAAGTATATTAGAAGTTGAGAGGGCATGAAGAAAGATAAGACAATGTTATGTCACTGTTGTGTGCCAACAGAATAAAATACCTGCAAGTTTGTGTCACTGGAAGTGTTAGGTCTTGGTGGTAAACAATTGTAAAATTATTGCAGTGTAGTAATTTCATAACACTAATTTTATGTAATAAAATTGAATATGTAGGCTGGTATATAAATGACATTTTATCTTAACGTTTGAATTCTAAAGAACAAGTGAGTAATAAAAAGTGCTTTTTAAGTTAAAAATACTTCTAGTTAGGATTTTTAAAGTTCAAAGAAATTCTATTTTGAAAAATATTTTTGCAATTATGAGCATGGTGAAAGTGGAATTTGGCTTATGTTGTAATGGGTATAATTGATATAAAATACTAAGTTTAATATTTCAGACAAAAAAGCACCTAAGAGGTTTAACACAACTACTAAGTGTATTCTTGGAATAGTGTATTGATGATTTTAATGAGGTGCCGAAAAAAGCAAGGCTAAAAATACCAGAAAAAGAAATGTTTGATTTTACATTGAAAATACTAAATTATTTCCCCAGATTACACTGAGAAGTTTCCTTAACTACTGTTTGTTCTAGAAACTGGAACAACTCAATCAATATCCAGATTTTAACAACTACCTAATTTTTGTTCTGACAAAATTAAAATCTGAAGGTAAGTAGGGTCTGTGTTAATAACTACTAAAAGTGTTTTAAGCCCTGTTAAAATATACTGGGAATTACTCATTTCAAAGGATTTCATTGTAGTAACCACTTGCTTTACAGATGTGGAATAAACAGACTTGAGTTACTACTACCACTCTAAGTACTTAGATGCTTATTAACAAGCATTCAACTGTTAATCGAGTGTTTTTATAATAAATTTCCTGATTCTTGGAAATGAAAAGAGTGTTGCAAAGTCTACTTTGGGGTGTAGCTTCAATCCTTGTATAAGAATATCATAGAGATTTACTCCTTTTAACATACAGAATGAATGTAGGATTTACTAATTGACTGAATATATGTGTGTTCAAAAAAAAGATTTGAAGTTCATATAACCAAGATGAAAAAATGAAATATCACTTATAATCACATCACATTAACTATTTATTCTACACGTTTTAAACTTAACTTCTATGATGGTTTAAAGCCTGAAAACTTGCGTGGTTTTTAAATGACAGTCATTTGATTTTTTTTTTTCCTAATACACCTCTTTGCCAGGTAGTATGTAGGCTCAGGGGCAGTAAGCAAGGATCTCTGCCCTCATGGAGCTTACATTGTAATGAGAGGTGTTCATGGAGTTATTTGTTTTGAGTATTTCCTTTTTGGAACATTGTCAGATATAGAAGATGCTCAAATATGTATTAAGCAACTGACTGGCCTATAAATATAAAAATTATAATATCCTATCCAGTGATGAGTGTTTCAGAAGCCATAGTGTGGTTAGTAAAGACACAGCACTTAGAGTTGGGAAGTAGTCTCAGACTCAGACACAGATTTCACCTCTCTTTCTTCAACTCTAAAATGCGTGTGTTAGGCCCTGGCTGGCGTAGCTCAGTGGATTGAGCGCGAGCTATGAACCAAAGTGTCACAGGTTCGATTCCCAGTCAGGGCACATGCCTGGGTTGCAGGCCATGACCCCCAGCAGCCGCACATTGATGTTTCTCTCCCTCCCTCCCTCCCTTCCCTCTCTAAAAATAAATAAATAAAATCTTTAAAAATAAATAAATAAAAATAAAATGCCTGGGTTAGACTACCAGACCATCTGTAAGGTTTGAGCTCCAAGCTCTAGTTGGTTAATGGCCTGAATGTGTGGTAAAATCTCACTAATAAGGTATCCAGATTTTGATAACCCATGCACAGCAGAGTGACTTATTTTGAATTGTTTTCAAATAATTTTCTAGTTAATTGTAGGGGTTTTAATTGCTGAGGAGGGATGTAATAGAAGCTTTAAAACTTTCTAAATCTTCATTTTAAGAAATTAGAAATCCCATCAGCATATCTTTAAATTCAGCAATTAATATTTCTAGTTTAAGCATACTTATGATACACTGTTTCTTATACAGAAAGTTTATTTTCCCTACATACTACAGTAGTTTATAATTAAATCAGGGCTATTTGGTTTTAAAAGAACTTATTTAGTAATGACTTTTTCTAAACTATAATTGTTTTTACTTGAAAATTTTAAGCTTATTTCACCAACTGTCTACTCTCATGTCCTCATCCTAAATTCCAAATATTAGGATGGTTAAAATATTATACTCCTTCTTAAAGCTTTCTTGGGGTATAAAGGTACATCAGAAGTATTTGAAAAAGCAGACAAACTTATTCAAATAGCAAGAGAAGTTGGTGTAACTGCCTTCAAAAATACCTCTTAGCTACACAACCACAAAATTGTGGATTTTCCTGACACTGATTAAAATGTATTTCCTCTGTTCATTAGTTATTTTCTTGAAGGACATAGTAGGAGCTTTATGTTTGTATAATTGATGTTTCTTCGTTTACTCATTTATTTCGGAGAAGTTAATTATATCTAGTTTTCTATTTAAAAAGTTGTGACCATCATATTAGAGAAGAAACATAAGTAACATCTTAAAAGAAAATATTTAGTAATCTTCACCATTCCTCATGTGTATTTGTTTACACCGAATCGTGTAGTAATGTTTTAAATCTGGAGGAGACCTCAGAAATGAGCTCATCTAGTTCCTCACTTTACAGATGAGCAAATTGAGGCCCAGTGAAGTAAAGCCTTACTTTCTTTACAAAAAGGAAGTGGTACTCTGGCTGGTGTGGGTTGGTTGAAGCATCATCCCAACACCAAAAGGTAGTGGGTTTAATTCCTAGTCGTGGCACATATCCAGGTTGAAATTTGATCCCTGGTTGGGGTGTGTAGGGGAGGCAGCCAGTTGATGTTTCTGTCATCCTTGGGTGAGGATTGAAAAAAAAAAGGAAGTGGTTACTTCATGGCTCCTTTAAATAGATTTTAGAGAGGATATTTTTAATTTTAATTAAAATAAATACTTTAATATAAAATATTTTAAATAATTTCACTTTGTTATTGAAACTCCTCATCTTGTAACTTTTATTGTGAAAACAATAGTGTATTTCTTGTAAACAAATAGGCCATTTAAAATAAAATTACATGACTGAATTAATGGGCTAACTTAAGGCAAAAAGAAGTTTATTGCTTGAGGAGGTTAAATATCTCACTATTTATTTTATGGCAGTTTTAAACTGAAGAGAAGTTAGAAGTGTTTTTGTTTCATTTTAATCTACTCATTGGAATGGGTTGTAATTGAAACTGGGAAGAAGTTTTTAAATGGTGACAAAACCTCTTTGGCTATTTTGCTGCGATGGCCTGAATATATGCAAAGAAACTGTGCTATCTTTTTGCCTCTCCCTGTGTCTTACCATTGAAGATTTTGGTGCCAGTCAGACTTTAGGAGCACGCTACTAATTAGAACAAGCTTGGGGTATTTTGTTTTTTAGTAAGGTATGTGAAGTAGTAGTGCTGTAATAGTATATTCTGTTTAACGCACCAGCTCTTCATGTCCTCTGGGCTTTCATGGAGGGTGAAACTATACAGTGCATCAAGCGTAGTCTTTGGAACCAGACTCCTGAGGTTGACATTTTGGCTTCCCCTCTTAGCAGCCTGGTGGGGCTTTGGCAAAGGTCTCAGTTTCTTTATTTGTGCGGTGAGAATAATTTTTGTCTCATGAGGTTGTGAGGATTAAATACAAACTACGTGGAAAGCAGAAGCACTTAGCAGTGTTTAGTACCTGATAAACATTCAGACGATGTTCGCTATTGTTTGTATTGTTGATGATGATGCCAGTTGGCAGTGAATCAGTTATATTCTATGAGTATCAGATTGCTTCTTGAGAATTTGTTCACACCATCTCTGGATTTAATTTTTTCTGAAGTAAATTCTGTTTTTAAACTTGGAAAATTTAAAACTTGTTTTACCCCTTTTTTTTTAGCTCAGAGGCAAGTGAAAAACATGACAATAAATGAATGAACAGCAATTATGTGTATTGGAAGGTGATCCCATATATTCTTTGTCCACTTAATTTTTAATGGGATATTAGTGACTAATACTTCAGATCTTTAATTTGATGTTTATATCAGGTTTCAATAAAGCTTGAGTACAGAGGCCATATATAAACTAAATTAACTCTTAAACTGAATCAGTGGTTCTCAACCCAGTGCAATTAATTCTTCTCCTGTAACACCTCCTCCATTTCCCCCAGAATTCGACATTACCTGGAAACATTTTGGGTTGTCACAACTTGGAGAGATGATGCTGGCGTCTATGGCCAGTAATACTGCTAACCACCTCACAATGCACAGGACAGCGCCTCCACCACAAAGAATTATCTGGCACAAGATGTCAGTAGTGCCAAGGTTGAGAAACCCTAAACTATAAATTATAAATCATGGAGCTAATCTTTTGAAATCATTTGTGATATTTTTTTCCTGGTTATAGCAAAATTATTGGAATGTTACAATCAGCTTTTGAATATAAATATTTTTAAAGTCACTGTTCATGGTACATTTTAAAATGAAAACTACTTTAAAACTCAATGCTATCATTATTTTACTACAGATGAACCCACAAGATCATTGAGTGGTCTCATTTTGAAGAATAATGTTAAAGCACATTTTCAGAACTTTCCAAATGGTGTAACAGACTTTATTAAAAGCGAATGTTTAAACAATATTGGTGACTCCTCTCCTTTGATTAGAGCCACTGTAGGTAAGTTACAATTTTATCATTTTATTTCTCTAATTTGTAAATGGGTTTTTTGATAGGAATTTTTCTCATCCATTTCAAATTGAATTGTGATGGGGTGAAATTTTTTATTGCTGCTCTTAAATGCTTTTAATCATGTTTGTAATTACAATAAAAACTCTCACTGGATAAGAAAAGGGTCTCACTGGATAAGAGACCTGGTAGTTGCTTAATCAAAGTTGGTTAAAATGGGGCATTACGAAATGATATTGAGAACCATTGCCTTTTCTTTGAGTTCCTTATTACCACCTGTCTTCCTGTGTAATACATGGGGTATAAATTTCAGTTTCACTTTCTTTTACATGGAAAGAAAAATTTCTTGGTAAAACAACTGGAATACAGGACCTTAGATTTTGACTATTTTTCCCTTGGTCTTAACATTTGACTTGTCTACATCTAATTATAGCAGATCCTCAGTAATTTCGTTTCATTCACCATGGTTTTGTCTTAACATTGATGATATCATAGGAGCCCACTTTTGTTTATGTAATTAGCCTGGGGTAAAATTGGTTTTGTTATTTATTTCACTTAAAACCACAGAACGTGTCAATGACATTGAGAAGTTAATGTACAGCAGTTTTGAGCCTTCAGAATGTTCATTTCAGTGAAAGAATGATTTTAATGGTAATAACTGGTATGAATAGGTTTGGAAGCAAACACCGCTAACTTGGTAAGCACACACATCCCCTGGTGGAAGTAGAAGTAGGCAGGTGTGCTGTAGCGTAGCTTACTAAATGGGCAGCAGTCAGTATGCCATGGGGCTTAAGCAGTTAATTTTACAAGGATCTCGAATTTCTCTTAATCTGGCAGGTTTGCTAAATGGAAGTCAGTTAACCTTCAAAAGGAGTCAATCGTTTTTATTAAAAGTTCTTTACTTTTTTCTATTTTGTCATGGTGGGTTCGAAAAGTACCCAGCTAATCTCTTAAAAAGCAGAGGTTCCCCTTCTAAATGTTCACCTATTAAATACTGCCATAATTAACACTGAGTTTAAATGGGATGGGTAGAGGGCATTTGTAATTTTAGGAAAGGGGCTCCATAAGCTTTCTGATAGACTATCATGTACCCTCCTAATGCTCTGCAACTCTTGACACGTAAAAAGTGTGTGCTAGTCTTTTTTTAATGTTTTAATCTTAACAGTACATTTTGAGAATTTTGCCAGAAAAGGACCACATTTCAGTGACTGTGTGGTAATTTATTAGATGAATGTAAAATTGTTTCTCCTGTTAAAGAATATATGGTTGGTTTGTAATTTTATCGTTTCGGTGAACAGCATCCTTTTATGCACTTGTGGGAAATTTTCTGTAGAGTTAATTCATAGAAGTGGCATTACTGGGTCAAAGTGTGTTTAAACATTTAAAATTTTAATAGATATTGTCAAGCATACCAGTTTTCAATCCCATCTTTTTTGTACACAGAAAATCATAATTGTTTACTTTTTGCAACTGTGTTAGGCGTTAGAGGACTTTTTAGGAGTGGATGAGATTATATGGAGCCAGATGAATTTGAGTTAGTCTGTCAACATTCTTTAATGCTTTCCGCGCAGAAGTAATGGATATCAGCAGTCTGTTAGTACCAGGGTGTTACTTGTGTTTATTTCATTTTATCCTTGCTCCTATTAAGACAGAGGTCCCCAGCCTTTTTGGCACCACAGACCAGATTTATGGAAGACAGTGAGGGGCAGGGGTGGGGGCAGCCAGGAGGTGGAGCTCAAGCAAACTTTGCTCATTGACCCGTTCCTAACAGGCCACAGACCACTGGACCACTATTGGTTCACAGTCGAGGGGATGGGGACGCCTGTTTTAAATCATGCTTGGTTTCCTTTAGGAAGATTCAGGGCTTTCTCTTTCCCTTAATTCTTTTATATTTTAACTTTGGGAAAGAATAATTGACCAGAGGAACAGATATGTTACTAGTCTTGCTGCTTTTTTATCTTATTAGAAGTCTATTTTATCGTAAGGATGCTATCTTAAAAATGCTATCCATACCATAACCTTTACCATACAATTTATTTTTTTAGCGAAGAGTAAAAATTGGCCAACAACTTGACATTTTTTAACTCTTTACCATTGGGAACAACCTTCTCAAGACTAATGGTGGAAAATTCAAAGAGAATTTATACTCACAAACAGTGGAATTTGCTACTTAATAATAATCATAAAGCATTTACTATATACCAAGCATTTTGTGTGCATATGTTACTGAATTCTCAAAATAACTAAGAAAGCACTTTTTAAAAATTTTACAGATTAGTATTTCGAAGCTTTAGAGTACATATAATATGCCTATCAGATTGTATACTCTTAATGATACTAAAAGATCTGTGATTGCCAAGTATCTTACTTTATGTCACTAATTCTAAATTTACTAAGGCAGAGAAAAATATTAACAGAAATTTTTTGTTATTACTCCACTTGTATTAACACAAAATTTTGTTTTACATATTTGTGTAACTATTACAAATAAGCTGCACTACACAGTTGAAATAATCCAGAGTGACATAATCAGTCAGCATGTGCCACTTGATTCTCCAAGATCACCTTGCCAGTCATTTGTTCTTGATCCAGCAAGTGGAAAACTTGGTAGGAGTATGTCCACACTAGAGGGATTGTTGCAAACAGAGTATGTAGGATTGTTCTCCATTAATGGTTTATCTACTTTCCCTCCCTGTGCCTAGGTGCTCCCATGGCTGTGATCCTAAGTTAAGGCAGGGGGCTGTTCTTAGCTTTTTGATGTATTTTTATTTGAACTTCACAGGCTCATGCTCATCACCCAGCGATAAGTGATATTAATATTTTCATGTATTTTCTTTCTAATATTTGTATGTGATTTCTACAAAATAGTGGTTTTAATTAGTGGAACTATGCTTGGTATGTTCTTGAAAAAGGGCCCTGGCTGGCGTAGCTCAGTGGGTTGAGCACGGGCTGCGAACCAAAGTGTCGCAGGTTTGATTCCCAGTCAGGGCACATGCCTGGGTTGCAGGCCACGGTCCCCAGCAACTGCACATTGATGTTTCTCTTTCTCCCTCCCTTCCCTCTCTAAAAATAAATAAATAAAATCTTTAAAAAAGAAAAAGGGCAAGTTGTAGTTTTCTGTACAGGTGATTGTTAAAAATAAAAAAAGGTGATGAAGTATTAAAAAACAAGATTAAATACAGAACTGATTTATGCTGTGGTTCTTCCACTAACATGCTGAGGTGACACGGGGGTCCTTGATGAATGTTAGTGGTTTGGACGTCTCGGGCTGATTCGGGACATTTAGGTGTGTATGGTTTTGCACATGTTTGTGTGCACTTGTTCATGTGGCAGTATCTAACATAATGCATTCAGATTTCCTCAAGGTGTGTTTTCTTTCCAGGTATTTTGATTACAACCATAGCCTCCAAAGGAGAATTGCAGAATTGGCCTGACCTCTTACCAAAACTTTGTAGCTTACTGGATTCTGAAGATTACAACACTTGTGAGGTAAACGTATTTGCTTTGTTATATAATTTTTCTTGCCATATTGTGTATTAATAACCTTTGAAAGTTTTTCTTTGAAAATATTTCAAAACTTAAAAGCCTAAAGTTATCTTTTTGTTTTAAATTAGTGATAATTTGTCTTATAGTTTTCAGAAGGCTTAAGTTTTAAAACCTCTCTACTATATTTTCTATAAGGAAATATCTTCTGTTTTTGTATTTGAAAACTTTTCTTGGCTGTGGTATATATGTAATAAACAGAGTTGTTGTCAAAGCTTAATCAGTTAATATGGTATTTTTTGAAAGTAGACTTAAAACTTACCAAATTCCAGCCCTGGCTGGTGTAGCTCAGTAGATTGAGTGCGGGCTGCGAACCAAAACATCACAAGTTCGATTCCCAGTCAGGGCACATGCCTGGGTTGCAGGCCATGGCCCCTAGCAACCACACATTGATATTTCTCTCTCTCTCTCCCTCCCTTACCTTTCTAAAAATAAGTAAATAAAATCTTTTTTAAAAAAATTAAAAATAAATAAATAAAAAACTTACCAAATTCCCAGACCATGAGTATTTGTTCAGCTTCTCTAAATTATTTTTGTGCCTCTTACTGTATGACATGTCTAGTTTAGTATTAATCCTGCATTAATTGTAGTCTCATTGTTTGCCACTGATCAAATCAGTATCAATCTTTCTGTTTGGGGAAGTGAAGGAGTCCGTATTTCTTCTACAATTTCTCACTGTTGATGAGTACTTTTAAGAATATCTTAAATCATCTGGGCTTCCAGTTTGGGTAGAAGTCTGTTTTAAATTGAAACCATTTTAGGTATTTTGCATAAGGCATTGACCGCTCTTCCTCTCAAAAAAGAGAAAGGCTTGGCAGCAAGGTAGGCCCAGGAGTAACCTAACATGAGGAAATCGGGTGGTCTTCTGACACGGCAGTGTATGGCCCAGGTCTGACTTCGGGAAGGGGGAGACTAGGGAGAAGGACAGGAAAGGAATGTTTAGAAAAGACTCTAAGAAAAAACAAACAAACAAAAACTTGCATTCTCATATGTGTGTGTGTTTTCCTATAATGCTTTAGAAATATACTGATAAGATTACAGAAAAACTAAAATAGTATTTAGCTATCAGGAAACAGTTGATTAAAATTTAAATAGTGCTTTGGTTAATGGTAGTAACATAAAAGGGTATCAAAATTTTAAGCAAGCACTTTCTAAAAATAAAAAAAATTCTTTTCATTCTAAGTTATTTAGTGCTAAAATTAAAATGTATCACTGTATTTAAACTGAGATTTTAGATAACCAATGACTTAATAATTTGTCTTAAAATTGATTAAATTTATAGATTTTATGAGGAAGCATTTTATGTGGGCTGAGAACATGAATTCAAACAAATTAGTCAGTGTTCTTCAGTCTGCTTTTAAAATGGCTTTATTTTTAATTTGAATAATTTACATGTCGTTTACAGGGAGCATTTGGTGCCCTTCAGAAGATATGTGAAGATTCTGCTGAGATTTTAGATAGCGATGTTTTAGATCGTCCTCTCAACATCATGATTCCAAAATTCTTACAGTTCTTCAAGCACAGTAGTCCAAAAATAAGGTATCTATCTGTATAGCCAATATTAAATTAATTTATAAACTCGGATATAAACCTGACTACTTTCTTATTTTTGTTTTTCCTGATATTTTTGTGCCTAACAAAATACATTATATATTCCACAAAGGTGAATTTCGATAATTGAAATTTGGTCCTTTGAAAACAAAGCCCAGGAAATGTTGACCTTTTCTGATGAAATTGTCATTTAATATGATAGTTATTTACCTTCTACATGTTTTAAGTACCTTTGTAATGTTTAACAGTCATGCTTTTAAGGTCCTTTATGAAAGGCTAAAACTCAGTGGGGTTTTGGGGGGGTTGTTTCTTTGTTTTTGTTTTTTTGTTTGTTTAATTTATGAATCTTGCCAAGTGCACATACCTCCATTTGCCACCTATGTACTAAAAGTTCTCCAGAATGACATCTAAATTATTAAGTAATTTTAGTCTAAGGAGCTTACATCTATTTATTTTTTTAAAAAAGTTTAATCCTGAAGGAAGGATTTTTTAGTATACTCTGAAATCACACAGCAGGGCTGGTTGGCTATTCCTGAAGTTAAACTGGTCTGTTTCGGTTTTTTTTCCCTTTAGATCCCTAGTTCCTTGAACACTGCCTAGCATACAGTTTTTGAAATTTCATTATTTTTGCAATACTAAATTAGCCTTTTATTATTTTGTTATCGTCAGTTTTATCATGCTATAATTATCATGATGCCTTTTATATTGTTGAAGTGTTTGAGGCTTTGTAACTTCACCAAAAGTTTTCCAGCCTGCTTTACTTTTTTCCCCTCCAGTTATGTGTATTTTTTTAACTTAAACCTTGCTTATTATTTCTGTGGAAAAGTCATTATTCTTTCTTCTGATTGTCATTTGATTTTTGCTTTTTTATAGTTATCAGTGCTTCATGCTTTTATGTAGAGTAATTAAATATATTACTATGTAGAGTAGAAATTATGTGGTTTCTACAGGCTTCAGGGATATCGGACTGAATGAATGTTAGTGTATAGGCTATACCTGTTAAGTTTAGATGCCCATTGGGGCTTACTCAAGATTCCAGGCTGTATTCCAGAGGATTTTGGTTGCAACAGTGTGACCAGAGGGTAAATCCAGAATCTTTCTTGCATAAATTCTTTATTTAGTTTTTACTCTTGCACCTTGATTTAATTTTACTTTTCTCTTAAGTGGTACTTAATCCAGTATTAAATTCACAATGGAAACGTAAGAGATGCTTATTTGTGGTAGTGTTATGCAAGTAAACATTTTCAAAATAAAATTTTACTCTTCTGGCATAAGTAACTAGATAGAGGATTTCGTGTGCCTAGGGAACACAAAAGGGGTAGTCCTTCCCCCTTTTAACATTTCACCTAAGGTGTGAAAGAAAGTGATGATCTGCATATTTCTAAGAAAGTTACTTTTTGTGAGCAATTCTCAGCAATTAAAAGAAAAAAATCCCAGGTGATTGGAACACTGTTAGTGGATATAAAAATTTCTTTTGTAACTATAATACATATGTTTAAAATTTAACAGGGTAGAGTTCAGCAATACAGAAATGTTTCTATTCCATGAATGTTCATTTTTGGCCATTTGAGATTCCGTTGAACATGCTGTTAAAGTATTTTAATGTATATTTGGGTAAATGACTGTTAAGTATTTTAGCTTTGTACTAAACATGTCTTTCATCTTTTTGTAGTTTTATTCTATATATTTTTAAACACCTTATTAGTACAGTTTAACTAGCATTTACTATGAGTGGTTTTGCCTTTCTCTGTAACTGTTGAACTTTGAGAAGATTAGAACAAGGCAAATACATACAGTTTTATTCATCACATGACTAAGCAATTTAAAAATCAGTCATTTCATTTTTTAATCATACTTAGAGGTACACAAATTGGGTTATATTTCTTAGCTTATGATACATTCTCATCATTTCCCACTTCCATTCAGTCTTTAGTTATTTATTAGTTATTTTTAATAATCATTTAAATCTACCATCCATAATAAAAACGAAGATCTTAAAAACAACCTATATCTAATCCCAACTTTACCCTTTTCTTGGAATTTTAAAACATAAATTTATTGATGTTTGTTTTTAACTTTATAAAAGGTATTGTACTGAATTTAAGCTTTGACTTCTTACATTCATTATGTTGTTAAGATTCATCCATATTGTGTCACTCTAAGTCATTTGTTTTGACTATATATTATTCCTTTGCGTGATAGTTACACAGTTTACTCATATCTCTCTCCCATCACCACTTTGACCCCACTTCTCCAACCCCCCGCCCCCAGTGGCCTTTAGGTGGCTTCCAGGTTTTTGCTGTTGTGGGTACTGCTCCTGAAAACATTTTATGCTTGTCTCCTCTTGTCTATTTGCAAGATTTTCTCTTAAGACAAAATCTTGAGAAGAAATTTCTAAGATACGAGGCATGTCGACGAATAACTCGAAATAACACCAAACTTTTTCAGAATGATTGCATCTATTATACTCTTTATTAGTAAAGCGAGGGATTTCCTGGGTACATATATTCAGCCTTTAGTACTGTCACACATTTTAATGTTTGCCAGTCAAATAGATAAAAAGTGGTATTTCATTCTGGTCTTTATGGTTTACTGCTCTGTCATTAATCACATCGAACATCTTGTCATGTTCGTTAGCTGTACATGGTGACTTTTCTCTTCTGTTTTCCATCTTTTTTTTCTATTGAGTTACTGGAAGAAGCACCCAGGATAGATCATTGATAAACAATATAGTTTCATGATAAATACTGTGGAAAATGAGAATAAGGGGTTAGAGATTCAGAAGATTTTGTATAGAAGGTTTTCTGTAAAGGGTAACATTCATGCAGACCCTGAACAAAGTAAAGTAGTCTTTGCAAGATCAAGGTGAAGATCAGGGAACAGCAAGTAGAAAGGCACTGGAGTTAGAAGCAGGCCATTTAGAATGACAAAAGAAAGACAATTTTATAGCATAGTAGGAAATGAAGTTAAGGAGTAGCCATGTTATAGAGTAATATCTAAGCCAGTAGTCAGCAAACTGACCCATGGAGCCAAAATGTAATCATGGTTGTGACCTGGGAGTTGAGAATGATTTTTAGGTAGTGTCATTAAGAATTGCTGTGGAATTGAATGGGGTATGTCGGAACACATAGACTGTAGACTACTCTCTGTTTTTAGCTTCAAAAGGAACGCGTACACTTCATTTTTAAGTCTGTAAGAAAATAAAAGTTCCCATTATGCCCCTATCCAGCCTCCATTCTACTATTAAAAATGTGCACATGTCCTTTTCAGAAACCTTTCCGTTTCATAGAAGCAATAATAGATTGCTCTGCAACATGCGTTTTCCACTTAATATATTACTCGTATTCTTTCTGTGTTATTACATAGAGAAATCTGACTCATTTGGGGGGAGGGGTATATGGCTGTACATAAGCCATAATATTTTTATAGAGGAATGTTTAAATTTTGTTTCCAGATCCCATGCTGTTGCATGTGTCAATCAGTTTATCATCAGCAGGACCCAAGCTCTGATGTTGCACATTGACTCTTTCATTGAGGTAAGATTTATCGCCCTTCTCCTTTATTTTTGAGAGGGTTAGAAAATGTTCATTGTATGTAGGTTTAGAACAACTTATTTCTCCACTTGTATCATAATAAACATTGGTTATGGTGTGTTTAATATCTTCAGTATAAAAATTTCTCCTTCATTATACTGTTCAATTGCATGTGGATGGTAAATCTCCCATTATTTGCAATATTTGAAACATTGGTGAAGTCGAATAAACTTAGTAAAGAATCTGAAGGCACAGACTAAAAGGAATATAGTGAGTCTTCATTTTACGTTGTCAGTATGTTCTATGACTTTAAATGAAACAAAATATAATGAAACCAGTTCCACCATAGGCTAATTGATACACACGAGTCAAATTCCTATTACATCTAATCAATGTGATAATGAAATGACGTTATTTGAGGATCACCTGTACTTGTGGTTTTCTTTTGGTTTCCATTTAGAAAGTTAAAAGTGTTGGGAAAAAAATTGGCTCTTAAATTTTAAGCAAGCATTTCTAACAACACTTTATGATAAAAGCAGAAAGATAAGAGCATAATTTTTTTGGTCATAATTTTTTTTTAAGCAATAGAATTACTTTTCAGAACTTTCTCTGCTTGCAAACAGCAATTGTGGAAGAATCGTTGAAGTTCCTTAACCCATTTAACTTTTATTTTTATCCAATAAAATTAATGAAATAGTCTGTTTCTTTTCAGCTGTTCTTATAAATTTTTTGTTGTTGTTTTATTTTGGAGAGACAGGAAGGGAGGGAGAAAGAGGGGGAGGCATCGATCAGTTGCCTCTCACAGCCTCGCAACCCAAGAATTGGCCCATACCCCAGCCTTGTGCCCCAAGTGGGAATCAACCCACAACCCCTCAGTTTGTTTACAGGCCAATGTGCAACCAACTGAGCCATGCCGGCCAGGGCTCAGCTGTTCTTTTTAAAAATCCTTCGGAGGCCATTTTTCTGTTGTAAAATTATAAGAGGAGGTGAATATTATTGTGTTTTGGGGTTTTTTTTTCCCCTCATTTGCTGAGTACCTACTATAAATCAGGCAGTGTGCTTGGTGCTAGGGTTATATAAATAAATTTTATGCCTCAAGGTGTTTTCAGTATAGTTTGATATAGAGGGTAGTGGGCAATATTAGAGGTCCATAGTAAGACTGCCTGGATTCAAATCTCAGCTGGGGTAGTAGCTGTTAACCTTGGGCACATTAATGAAGTGATGTTATCTGTTTCATCATCTGTGAAATGAGGCTAATCATAGACATACCTTGTTGGATCATTATACATTTGCTATAAATAAGTTGGAACAGTGCCTGCTACAAAGTAAGCACTCTACATGTTAACTACTGCTATAACTACTTTTAGAAGTTGTAATTATAATAGTATTTCCTCTTAGTATTATTCAACACCTTAAGGGAACTGTGATGGACATACCAGCATCTTATACAGAAATGTAATGTAGAATAAAAGAAATTAAATTCTCTGTAAAAGTAAAAATTGTGTAAGACCGTTTGCGGAGCAAGAACAAGAATGTGTCCTAGCATTTTAAAATATTTTCTGTTAGTGTTATATGCCATGTTAACATTTCTCTGCTACTGGCTAACTGTATAAGAGTTTAAGAGTTTTCCATCCTATAAGAACAATAACCTCCAGAGGAGATGCCTGATACATAGTAGGCCCTCAATAACTATTTGATGCATAAATAAATGAATGAATTGTTTTCATCAGTTATCAGTGTTTTCATCAGGAGCTGATGTCATGTGCTGGGTTTGACATTATTGGTGACAGTGTGTTAGTTTCTAATATACAACAAAACCTACCTTGGTAAAGCTGGGTATTCCTATTAAGACAACATCAAATTTAATGAAAGAAGTATATCTAACATACAAAGCAGTGTGCGATGGGTAAACAGTATTTTTCTCTAACCTTGTAAAATATGTCGATTAAAAAAGGAAATAGAGAGTTTCGAAAGCATTGGGGACTTGGGGAAATCACAGATTTTAAAATTCTGGAAACAGAGCTCTGGCCAGGTAGCTCAGTTGCTTTGCAGGGCCTGTTAGGAACTGAGCCGCACAGTAGAGGGTGGGCTTCAATGCAGTGCGCTTGAATCATCCCACATCCATTCCCCCCATCCCTCCCTGGTTCATGGGAGAATTGTCTTCCACAGAACCAGTCCCTGGTGCCAAAAAGGTTGGTGACCACTGGGTCAGAGCATCATCCAATATGCCCAAGTTTGATCCTTAGTCGGGGCACATATAAGAATCCACCAATAAATGTGTACATAAATGGAACAACAAAAATCAATGTTTCTCTAAAATCAATAAAATGCCAGAAATAGTACTTCACATACTGTCATATTTGATGTTTGAACTTCTCCATTTTCTTGCCACTTTCTTGTTACAAGATTTTAGGTTCATCTATTTGGAGACATTTTTGTGATTTCCTGGGAAAAAACAATGAGGCACATTTGATTTTTATTTTTTTATGATGTTTTTACTGCTTTTAATGTATGCGTGTTTTCATACTTAAAGTAGAATTTCAGGAGTGAGATGGGGAGATTTATTGTTCTTCTCACATCCCTACTTGTAAGCTCTATACGAGACAACCTGTTGTGCTAGTAGGGGCTTGTTGGTAAAGTGAATGTGGGCTTATTCATGATTCTATGAAAATCAGATTCACATGCTCCCCACTGGCTAGCAAGTTACTTCAGACAATTTTTTTAAGCCTTGTAGCGAAACTTGTTAAAAACAGTATGAGATTGATTGCTGGTATTTTTTTCAGGAGTTGACCTGGTGTACCTTGGCAGTTTAGGGTTAAGTTTTAGAAACTCGGTATATATAATTTACCCAATTATTGATGCTTTTATAGAACTTCCACCTGTTACCTCCTTAAGAATCAGAGTTGGTAGGACTGAATCTCTTGATAGGCAGTAATTTTGAAGGATAAGTCTGATTTTATTTTAATGATTACCTATATTTCTGGATCAGCTGGATGAGTGTCCCTATGTCCTAATGACATGGTTTTATTCTCACTAGAAATGACCTCAAAACACAACCAGTCATACTCTATCAGAAACAGTGGTTTTTAGATCATTTACCAAAATCATGATTGGCAGTAATCATTCTGTTTGCCTTATTTTATAGCCTAATATTGTAAGCCAATTCATTCTTTATTTGTACTTCATCTTCTTAGCATTTTTAAATGTTAGCAACTTGCAGATTACTGATCAGTATTTATAAACTTTTCTAATGTATTAGAATACTTAACTAGAAAAAAATGTTCCTTGTGCAATAGAATCTCTTTGCGTTGGCTGGGGATGAAGAACCAGAGGTACGGAAAAACGTGTGCCGGGCACTTGTGATGTTGCTTGAAGTTCGAATGGATCGCCTGCTTCCTCACATGCATAATATAGTTGAGGTAACTTAAAGGCTCACTCATCATCGCCGTTCCCTCAAAAATCTTGGGCACACAATGCATAGTGTGAAACCATTGTTTTCTAGTATTATTTAACTCATTTGTGGGGACTAAAAAATGGTTATGATTATCTTAAAAGGATAAATTCTCTTTATGGTTACTTTTCTTTCATGAGATTTAAGATATTTTAAGATGGATTGCTTTTATTAAGATGTTTTAAAGAGAAAAAATTATTTAAAGTAGTAGGTAGCTTTTAACCAGGATAACTAGGAAATACTTAAATTGTTTGTGTTTACTAGGTATGAGTTAGGATAATCAATAAACTATGGTAGAATAACAAGGTGTAACTATTACTAGAACAAAATACAAGTGGGTTAAATAGTGTGTATCTAGTTCCTCTCTTCGCTCCCAGAGGTCCATATGGTATGGAGAGGGAATATCTCCTTTTCTAAAACATTACAAAAGATAATTGTAAAGATAAGGATATGTAGCAACGTAATATGGGGATAAATGACAGTTTCTCTGAGGAGCCTATTCTCTCCATGAAGTATTTAGAAGAAGCATGTGGAATTGGTTGAAAGTTTAACTGTAGAGTTTGTAATTACCCAAAAAGTTAAAGACATTTTATCATTTGCTAAGGCCATGTGACAGCTGGGGAGCCCAATTCATAATGCTGCAGTTCTTCAGCAGTCTTCAGTGCAGGAGTGGGATGTGGTGCGGAACGTAATAAGGGTTGGTGTGCCACACCTGTTGTGTTGCCACATTTTGCCATGTGAGGTGTTTATCAGTGGGGCAGAGGATGTATATGAATTTATCACTTAACTTCAACTCAGAGTCCCAGGTACTGTGGGAAATCATTTGTGAGTTTATGTTTGGTTTTTGCACATAAGGGTTTTTTAAAGAGGGTAGACAGCGCGCCTTTGGACAGATTTGGGATCAGATGTTCTTCCAAATAAGAGTCAATTTGGCTTGCTGTGTTCAGAGAACATGATAAACCTATTTTGTTGGAAACTACAAATTATTACACTGAGAAACCTCATTACTTCTTTCTAAATTAAAAAAATAACTTTTGTAATTGTATTTATATATGTATCTCCTTAAATATGTGAAGTATGTACTTGCAAGAGACAGCTTGAGCAGTTAGGTTATAAAAAGATTTCATTTTAAGAACAGTTTAATGGAGTGTTTTTTGATTTTGCTGATTTTACAAAGACTTAAAGTTTGATTATTAATACTCACATTTTTAAAAATCTCAGTGGTTTCATAGAACAAAATAGATACACACAGAAGCACCTAAACAATGCATGCATTGCACACTTCATTAGGCAGTGTTCTAAAGTGGCAGTTCTTAAATTTGGCTGCATTTTAGAATTAACTAGGAAGCTTTTGGTGTTGTTGTTTATATTAATTTTCAACCTAGGGTTTAAATTAAGTGCAAGGCCATAGCAAAGGACTATTAACCTGCTGAAATATTGTGAAGTTTATTTTAATTGTATGATTTTAATTGACTAACATTAAGGCTCCTTTGTTTACAGTACATGCTGCAGAGGACCCAAGATCAAGATGAAAATGTTGCTCTAGAAGCCTGTGAATTTTGGCTCACTTTGGCAGAGCAACCAATATGCAAAGATGTGCTTGTAAGGCACCTTCCTAAGTAAGTGTTGCATCTTATGAATGCTTCCTTGTTCTTAAATTTAACAGCGATTCCTCATTTTTATATTTTTAGGTTACTTTCTTCTATCATCAGGGAGTTAAAGTTCTAAAGAAGTCCAGCTTAATTTTATTGTTGGTATAAGTAAAGAGGTTTCCAAGAAATAACTACATTTTCTTAAAATTACATGAGCATGGTTTATTCTAAATCATGCTTGCTTTTGGATAACTTCTGTCACAGTTACCTTTTTTTATAATCCTTGTAATTGGATCATGGACTCTGGTGGGGGGGTTTTCCCACAAAGAAAATGATTGCCCACTGGTTGTGATGCTATGAAATTGGTTAACCTATTGTTAAGGCTATTTTTAACCTGGCGAATGCTTTTTGACCATTAAAAAATTTTTCTTCCATTTTATTGACATAATTATCATAAATATTATATTAGTTTTAAATTTACAATGTAGTGATTTAACATGCATTAAGATCAGTTACTTGAAAGTAATGCTTGTTAACTTTTGAAAAGTGATATGGGCTTGTGGAAGCAAATTAAAATGCAGAAAATTTTAAATCGCTTGGAATTTCATCCCTTTGAGTAATCACTGTTAGTATTTTTGGTGTGTTGTTACTATACACCAAATTCTGTATATTCAGTGTTTCAGGAAGAATTAAATTTAATAGTATGTACAACACTTAATATAGCATCTAGCTATAGTTAGTGCTTAAAATACTGATTGTACCGTTTTGTGGTTTGCTCTTTTCAGTTACTTGAATGTTGTGTACTTCCCTCTTTAAACTCTGAGTACTGGTGCATCATAGGGTGCGTACCGTGTATATATGATTGACTGTTCTGCTGTTGAATATTTAAGTTGTCTGTCCCCCTTTTTAAAGCAAATAATCCTGGAGTAAACATCTTTCTTTGCCCACAAGTGGTTGCTTCTTTCAGGTAGAATTCCTAGAAATGATTTTTTACCAGAGTAACAAGGGCTGAGCATTTGAGGAATCTTCGTAACTGTCCCCGTTTGTTCCCTACTGAGTAACTCGGGCTTACATCCTGCCAGCGGTGGTCCGTCCAGTTGCAACTTCTACCAGCCGTTGGTTATAAGTTCCTTAATCTTAGCCATCTGAATGGGCAAAGGTCGTAACTACTTATTGCAATATGTTACAGTATTGGAGTTTGGGTTTTTTAGATGTTTACAATACTTGGATGTTCTTATTTTCATGTAGTTAACTTTTTTTCTTTTTCAATGAATTCTTTCCCCACCAAGAAAGCAGCCATTCCACCTGTTTTATTCTAGTCTGTCTGGAATGTATTTGGATTTTGTTTTCTTTAGAAAATCTATATATTACTCTCTCTTTTTTCCCTAACTTATACTACTTTTATGATATGCTTTTTTTTAATGTAGGATTATCTAACTCTAAGAATCATATAAACCAATTATTACTTTTTATAAAAATTAAAGAGCTATTAATATAACTTTAGGGGATATTCATAATATACAGTTACAGCAAGGTGCTCTGTCATTATACTAATAAAACCTAAACATTTTTAAAGCAAACAGGGCTCTAAAAAATCAGCACTTCACTCAGCCAATCATAACTGGGTTTGACTTAACATGGCTGCTTTAATTTTTTATTAAAATAATGCATTGTGAGGGTGGAGAACATTCATGTAAATGTGGTGCTAAGATAAAGATCATGATAAAAGAACTTGTGTTGCCTGTCTCCATTAACCAGACTCTTTAAGTATGAGAAAAATATTTTTGGTTCAGAATCAGAATCATACATGTAATGGTACATTTTGTATTGATATGAGCTCACATGGAAAGCACTAACGTAACAAGGGATGGTTGGCATAAAATTCTTTTATTTGTTTCTGGACTATATAGTCTGTTCTGTTTCCTTTTAACCACTACTATACTCTCAGTTATTGCACATTTAATAATATATTTTGTTCTCTGGTAAAGCAGATCTTCATTTCTTTCCTGACTTTTCCCACATTTGTTCTTATACATTAATATCTCTTGAGACGAAAACATTTAACACATTGCCCAGTGCATATTTAAGTAAACATTCATACTATCATTGCTCTTCTGCAATACCATATTAAAAATATTTTTTGTTTTTAAGGGCTACTTGAAGCTTCAGGAGAGAAAGCATCTTAACAATAGACCTGTTCAAAAATCATGGGTTGCCTTGCATGATTAGAGTCGGCAGACATGTCATATTTCCCATGGTCACGTTGAACTCCTGTGTCTCACTCTCCAACCTCATTTTCTTTGCTTGCTCAGCTCTAAAAGTCCTTTATTTTCTGCACATCTTTTTATTCTTTTATCTAGCACAAAGATCATGATCTACAAATTAATTGTACTGACCGAAAACCCCAACTATGCTTAATCTCGCCTGCTCTGAATTAATTTAACCCTTTGTTAAACACTGCTGGAAAAATTACTCTGCCGGGAAGATTGGTGTCTATAGAAATCCATGCTTTTCAGACCATTCACACTATCTGTCAATTTTTCTTACTCTAGGTCAACTTTTATTTTCCATTCACCAGGGCAATTGCTTTCAAACCTTTATCACTCTCTGTTGTTCTCTTCATTCATTTTGAGAATTCTGCTTTATTGGGAAAACAGATGACCCTTCATCTTGCCCCAAAACTTACAGATGTATTTTAATGAGTTGTCCTCTTCCTAACCAGTCGTCTTATTCATATGGTCTTGGCTTGCTTTTTTTTTTTTAATCCTCCAAGACCTCATTCCATCAGATAGATTTATTCTCTCTTAATTTTCTCTTCTCTGTTGCCTTGTTGCTTCTTTCTCCATAACTTTTCAACTTGCCACAGTTCCTCTTCCATCTTAAAAAGATTTAAAGAATAGATGGAGCTCACTGTCTTCACTTCTTTACCTTACTTTGTGTTATGTTGACTCCTTAGTATTTTTACAGTCTGCCATCTGTTCTCTCCATTTTTCTGAATTGTTGACAGAGATCATAAATTATTTTACTATTGATGACCCAAATAAACCCAGCTCTGCAAAATGTCTATGGCTTACAAAATATGGTTGTGTATTGTAAATTCTATCTAGGTATGTTGTATATTTTTAATGTTAAGTTACTATTAATGTCTCTATTTTAAATTTGAAAGGACTTTGAACATACATGAAAGTTTGGCTAGTGCACATTTTATAACTATCCAGGACATTTTTTAAGTCCCACTGCTTCTGTCTCCCTATTAGTATTCCTTTAGTTAATGAGGACTTACAACATTATCTCATTGGTTGTAGAGTTCTACTCAAAATCATTTTCATACATATTTGAAGTAAGGCCTCAACAAAAACCAGACATTATAGAGTGAGAGTTGCTTACATGTGATACAGGGAAAGAAAATTGTAGTCAGACCAAACTGATTTTGAATTCTCACTCTACTGTTTACTTAAAACTTAGGACCTTGTGGAAATAATGTAACCCTGAACCTTGGTTTACTTGTATGTAAAATGGAGATCATAATACTTGACTCGCTAGTTATAAGGAGGGTGCTTACTATAAGCCCACAGCGGGCAGTCATGAGTATGAGGTTCTTTGCCTATTCATACTTTTCCCAAGCCACTCAGAACAGTTAAGGTGGAAATTGGATGCAGAGGACTGTGGACATTGTTAAATAGTTCCAAAGTGTTCTCATTCCTTTTATCCTCAGTGGGCTCTTTTGGGTGTATGTGATGGGCCAGTGAGAAAACAGATCATCAAAGCTTAAGAAAACCTGTGAAAGCTTAAAACTGGCATAGCTACAAGAGGAACTGATGTTACTGTTTTGACCTTCACTCATGTGTTTTGATTTTTTAATTAGATATCATAAATATTCTAGTGTACCTGGAATTCCGTGTTTATAGACATCATGGTTCTGTTTTAGTGACTACCTAATTACTTAAGATTGGATATGATACCCTGATTATTTTCTTAGTGAGAATTTAAATTTCATTTTTATCATAAGGCTATAACTTTGTCAATAGAACTTTTCCTTTTTGCATTATTTATTTTGGCTAAATTCCTTTAGACCTAGTTCTTTATATTTTAAATACTCTCATCTCTTCTATTAAGAGGAATACAGATATAAATGAATTTTCCCGATTGAAAATGGCCCTTCGGCTGCCATTAAATAAATTTTCTCAACCTAAGTGGAAAAAAGTTGATAGTTGTCATTATAAGCAAACATACAAAGTAGTATATAGCATCATCTACATCGCTCCTTACAACACAGACTTTCAAAGAACCAGAGATAGATGCTTTATAGAAGTTTAGTGGTTTTTGAAGAGGTACATGGGTGTGGGTTTGTGGTTTGAGTTTTTTGGTTTTACATTCTAGAAGGTGTGCCACCACCACTCTGTTTCTGTTGCAAAGATCACATCTGTGACTATCAGGGCAAGCTAAACTTTGCACAGTAATGATGCACATTTCTTCATGCAGTCTTGTGTTTCCTATACAGGGTGGGGCAAAAGTAGGGTTACAGTTCGGAGTATGTGAAACAACTTATATTCTTGTGTTATTATTTATTTAATTATTATATTATTTTCCATATGAACGACTGTAAACCTGTTTTTGCCTCATCCAGTATATTCAGTTTTCTGACATGCATTAGAATATATAACACTTGAATTCTAGTGATTTCATATTTGATTTTACAATGTGAAAAAAAAATTTGAGGAAGGACATGACCTGGGAAAGAGAAGGGAGAGAACCCTTACCACAATGAAAATAGATACATTCATACCCAAGTTTCCAAAAATAGACTTCTCAAAACTTCCCATTCACTTTTGGGAAACATCCCTCTGTGGCATTAAGTGAGAGGGAAAATCAGTTTGTTTCAGTGGAAACAATTCGGCACAACGGGAAAGTTTGACTTCGGTCCATTTGTCATTAGCTCAAGGATAGTCTCATTGCAACCCAGTACTTAAATTTAAAACTATATTTATTTGTTATATTATTCTAAAACTGGCATAGATGTTCTCTTTTCATTTCCTGCACTTTCAGCTTGAGAGTCCACCGTTGGTTTGCTCTCTCAGCCCTCAGCATCTTTGTGATTTTCCCTGGCACTCTCAGCAGCAGCATCTTGGCTAGGCTCCCTCTCCTAGCTCATAATGTCAGGGGTCACCTGATCCAAATCTGCTTCTAGAAGCTCAGTTCGTACTTCCATTGGCATAGTGTTTTTATCATTATTACTTGGAAAACAAAATATAACAACCTCCTCCTCCCACCCCCACAAAAAAAAGAAGGAATACAAATACTAAATGCAGGCTTATTGTAACATTTAGAAATAAAAGATGAATTTTGTCCCTTTTTTGCCTACTCACTTTCCAAAGATACCGGTTTCTTATATCCTGCCTGAAGAGTGTATAAGTAAAGTCTATGTTTATAAATAATTACATGGGAAATCTCACTATTTTAATACAAATGAAAATGTGCTGTGTATGCTTTACACCTGGGGGGTTTTTTTTGTTTGTTGTTAACTTTACTGTAATTTAGTTTAACCAAGCCTCAAATGGTGAACATTTAGACTTTTTTTTAATGTTTTTGTTACTGTATCAAGGAATATTGGTCTTTAAAAAATGAGAATGATTATTGGTATATTTGGGATAAATTCTTAGGAAAGAAATTGATATATTTTTATTATCTTTGTTTCCAAGCACTATTAACCTTACCTCCACTAAGAGTCTTATCTGGTGGAGCTCATGCTTGAATTGTGAAAAGACTACAATATATATTAGGGACACTCGTCATTTGAGAAGGGCATACAGGACAAATGTGCTCTAAGACAATATTAGTAGTGGTTCTCTCATTGGTGTTACTGGTATATAAATGTTTGTTAAGACTTCTTAATTTTATTGGTCTTTAGATCTTTGTTTCATGAATTTTTTTTATTTAAAATAGGTTGATTCCTGTGTTAGTGAATGGCATGAAGTACTCAGATATAGACATTATCCTACTTAAGGTAAGGAAGCTATTTTCTTGTGAATAGAGAATATTATTTTTATTGACTTAGAAAATTTTGAATTCAACCAATAGAATATTTATTTAGAATAGACCCTGTATAAATGGGCTCCTGTTATATGTAATATGCTACACAGTTCAAAGATACAAGCATTAAAATAGCTGAAATAGGATCTGAATGGGATTCAGCTACTCCAGGTTGTGCTAGCCTAATGGAAGGCAATATAATGTGTTTTAAAGTACCTGATAGTTAACAGGTCTTACGTAATCTATTCTCTCCTTCGCAAAGAAAAGGTATACTGTGCCCGGCCCCATCTGGATATTCTGATTCTTTCACTCATGTACATATTAGCCTGTAATGAGTATTGCCAAAATTTTCCTTTTAAAAATAAAATACAGGGTGATGTTGAAGAAGATGAAACGATTCCTGATAGTGAACAGGATATAAGGCCACGTTTTCATCGATCAAGGACAGTGGCTCAGCAGCATGATGAAGATGGCATTGAAGAGGAAGATGACGACGACGATGAAATTGATGATGATGATACAATTTCTGACTGGAATCTAAGTAAGTTGGAGAGGGAAAAGACAGTTGCCTGCTTTGAGAACCAGTTTATTGGGAAATAATTTATATATATTATAAAATTCACCCATTAAACAGTACAATTCAGTGGCTTTTAATGTATTCATAGATGTGCAACCATCTCCACAGTAAATTCTGGAACATTTCATCACCCTAGAAAAGAACCCCATTCTCATTATCAGTTATTCCCTTTTTCTCCCAGTCCCCCAGCCCTAAGCAACTACTAGTCTATATTCTGTATTTGGTTTTGCCTATTCTGGACATTTCCTATAAATGGAATCATACAGTATAAAGTCCTTTGTGGCTGGCTTCTTTCACTTAGCCTGTTTCAACATATGTCCATGTTGTGGCATGTATCAATACTTTATTCCTTTTTATTGCAGAAAAATAATCCATTGTATGGATTTAGCACATCTTATTTATTTATTTATCAGTTGATGGACAGTTTGTTATTTTGTTGTTTCCCCTTTTTGGCTATTGTGAGTAATGATTCTGTGAACTTTTCTATAAAATGTATGTGTGGACATACATTTTCAGTCTCTTAGGTATATGCCCAGGAGTGGGATTACTGGGTCAGGCTAACACTCTGTTTAACTTTTTGAGAAACTACCAGGCTGTTTTCCAAAGTGGCTGCACCGCTTATTTTCCCACCAGCAATGCCTTAGAATATCAGAAGTACATACCATTTTGGTTTGCATTTTTCTGATGTACCTCTTTTTATATTTACTATTCATTGTATTTTTTAAAGATAGCTCAGGCTGTCATTTCTCAAAAGCTATATATTTTTTGTTTAATACTATAAAATAAGCAAGTTGGCCATAAACTTTTTCTCTTTTCCTTACATAAACTTGTTTTGCAATAATTTATGTGCGAATTGACTGATTATCATGGATAATTCTAAAATAATACAAATTGCTTTGTCATATTCAGACTTAGAAAATACTTTTTAAAAATCTCTGTTAGTTTTCCATCTTAGCTGCAAATCCACATCATCTGCTGAGCCGGCATTTGGGGCCACACTGTAATTAAATAACTCTGGGGAGGAACCTAGACACCTGTGTTTTGCTTGCTTGCTAACTGTTTTTTAAAGCTCTGTTGCTCTAGTTCAGGATTACCCAGGCTCAGCAGTAATGACATTTTGGGCCACATGATTTTTTTTGTTGTTGTGGGGGCTTTTCTGCACATTATAGGATGTTGAGCAACCTTGCCTCTACCCAGTAGGTGCCAGCAGCAACACACGCACGCATGTACACTCCTGTGATAACCAGTAGTCTCCAGACAGTGCCAGATGTCCCCTGGGAAACAAAACCACAAGCTTTCTAGTTACTGTAAAGTGGTTAAGGACATGAATCATTGGCCTGTACTGTGTAATTCATTTGGTTAAATGATGCTAATTCCTCTGCTGCCCATTTAGTTTCCTACAACTACCACTTACTTAGCATTCTTAATGTGCCCAGCTCTAGGCCAAGGACTTGGCATGCATATCTTTCATTTAATCTTCCCAGCAGCTTTACATAGGTAAGGAAACTGCAGAAAGAGAAACTTGCCCAAGGTCAACATAGCTAGGAGGGCACATCTGTTATTGGAACCCAAATCTCACTACTATCACAAATTACCTCCCACTGTATCCCTACTTTCAGGTTGAGGACAGGGTGGATTAACATTATAATACAATATAGATAACTTTTCAAAAGTAATAATGTACATTGGTTGCATTATTGGTGGGGGGTACTTTCTCTTCACATATCACCCATCTTTATATCCTTCCAGAAGTTTTTCTGTGTACATACAGAAAAACATATGTATATCTTCTTTTTGTTTTTATTCTCACCCGAGAAAATACAGAGTCCAGCACAAATAACGCTCCTTTTTTGTTAGAAAATCATAAGCATGTAATTCCATAACAGCAATATCACACTCAAGCACACTATATGACATTTTAGGTGAAATGTTCAGATTAAAACTATAAAGTATTACACCTATATAATTACCCTATCACCACACTCAAGGAAGCCTTAGTTCTGCCAGACCCTGTATTTATTGATTTTAGAGAGAGAGAGAAACATCAGTCAATTGCCTCTTGCACGTGCCCCAACCAGGGATTGAGCCCACAACCTTTCTGGTGTATGGGATGATGCTCTAACCAAGTGAGCCACCCAGCCAAAGCTGTATCATCTTTTTTGGAGAGGAGGCTGACTTTACAAAAGTGAAATCAGATTATATGTACTCTGATGGTTCTTTTCTATATATAACTCATTCTGTATAAGTACATAGAGATTTCATTCTGTTTTGTGGCAGTATAATGTTCATTTCTGTGGACCTGCTATACCGTATAATTTAAAAGCCTTATTGGTAAGTGTCACTTCTAGCCAATGTAACAGAGTTTTTTAAAAAAGGATTTTACTATTGTCTGATAGTGTGTGATTAACCATTGTGCCTTATTCACATTAGGAAGAATTTAGATGCTTAATTATATTATTGTTCTTTTCAAATTTTTTGTTCTTTTCTAAATTATGTTAAATGAAACTTGAATTAATACATAGTCTGATACTTAATGGTGCCTTACTCTGTAAAGAAAGTTTTCCAGGATATTTTACATGTCGTATACTTGGTGAATTTTGATTCCAATTTATAATTAGTTTGCTAATTTTTGGTCATAAAAAAGTGCTTTTGTGAACAGAATTTTTTCATGTGATAAGACTGCTTATTTAATTGGATTCTTTGAAACTATAGAAGTATGAACAAAATGTACATACAACAAATACATTTTACATAGCTAAAAGATAATAGAGGTTAATGTAATATTTTTGATAAATATATTTTCTTAGGAAAATGTTCTGCCGCTGCCCTAGATGTTCTTGCAAATGTGTATCGTGATGAGCTTTTGCCACATATTTTGCCCCTTTTGAAAGAATTACTTTTTCATCATGAATGGGTCGTTAAAGAATCGGGCATCTTGGTTTTAGGTGCAATTGCTGAAGGTAAGTTGAAGTCACATTTGAACTGTAAAGCCCTTAATAATTAGCACTAATGTGACTAGGCTACTTTAATGAGTTGTTACTCTGTATGGAAAGAGTATTCACTCCTGAATTTACACACTTTGTTCTTATGTTGCTAATGTGGGTTTAAGAAGACTATGTGATCCACATTAACCTTGAAAAGGATGTTTGAATCCAAAAGCCATCTTAGAATAAGTGTTTACTTTGAACTGATTAACAATTATTAACTAAACAGCCATAGGCCTACTTCTAACCCCAGCCAGATATTTTGTAAATGCTTCTGTTATGATAAAGGGAGCAGAATGAGAGGGCAAGGGCTCAGATGTCAGAAGCATTCCCATTGCTAGAAAAATAACTCCTCTTTACGTAAGTGTAAGAAATGTGATAAGTCAAGAGTGTCATCATTCTCTATAGGTTATTTTTTCCTAACTGTAAACATCTATCTAGAAGAAATGAAGCATATTAAAGGCATCTCTAAAAGTCATAATTTATGTAGCAGAAGTAAAATGAACTTTCCAAACCCTGCTGGAAGATGCTTAGGGGTAGTTAGGTCTTGTTTCAGTTTTTGATATTTTAGATCAGATTTTTTTACAGCATATTTAATACAATGAAGATAACCTGAATATTTTTCATGAACACGTGTCCGTTTAATATTCAACTGAAATGGTTTTGTTTTAACTATATTTTAGCAGTTTCTGAAAGACGTCTGTTATTTTTTTTTTTCTAGGTTGCATGCAAGGCATGATTCCATACTTGCCTGAGCTCATCCCTCACCTTATTCAGTGCCTCTCTGATAAAAAGGCTCTTGTGCGTTCCATAACATGCTGGACTCTGAGCCGTTATGCACACTGGGTAGTCAGCCAGCCCCCAGACACGTACCTGAAGCCATTAATGACAGAATTGCTAAAGCGTATCCTGGATAGCAACAAGAGAGTACAAGAAGCTGCCTGCAGGTGGGACAGATTCATAACAAATGTTCCCTGTGCGGGAGAGGAGTGGGTATTTCAATGAGAAACTAATTTTCAACCTTGTGATGGAATATTGGTATTAAACCATTAATGGGCTTTTTATTATCTGTAGCTTTCACCTTACGATTTTGTAAATCCAAATGTGACTAATAGACATCAACCTTTGCTGTTTCTGAAATGTTTTGTTTTCTCAGTGGCTATGATAACAGTAGAGTTATCTTTTAAACTAATTCCCACAGGCATCTGGAGAGGTGAGGACAAAGGTCCTACTCTTGAACCAATAGCAAGGCTGGAGCAGATTCCTGTTAGCCTGCAGGTCTAACTGCCATAAATCCACAGAAAGCCCCACTGTTGTCTGTCATTTAGTGTAGCCACCTAAGTAGCTGTTCTGTCGGTTTGGGGCTGTTTTGTTTTTATATAAGACCAGCAGTTGCAGTTAAAATAATATTCCAGTTTGGGGAATAAGAAAAAAAGGAGAGTAGGACTTTTCCAGATCGGAAGCAAAATTTTCTGAAAGAGTTTTTAATTCTTAATAACATGAAAGATGACCAGGGAGGCTTTGATGATTAATAGCACTAAAGCTTTTTTTTCAATGGGAGCAAGATACAGATTATGTTTGGTTTCCTGTAGTTTATTTATTTGGCACTTCTTTAGCTCTCTACTAATGGTTAGGCATATTCTAAATGCTGGGCTTACATTCTTGCCGTCTTTAAACTTACAGTCTAACAGGGAGTACTAAACAACTATATAATTTATGGCAAGTGTAGTAAAAAAATAACTAGTACGCACTACTAATGAACAGGACTTTCATTAACAAGTCGCTTGAGCCTGTTATCTCTAGGAAATTCCTGACTTGGTAGAACAGAATATAATACAAACCTTAATTTTAGAAATAAAGAGCCAGGACAAATTTATGTCTAAATTGAAATCATTACATTGGGACTCGCGATTTTTTTTTTTTCCTTTCTTGCACATTTGTTCTAATACAGTGTAGCCATACATAAGGCAAATTTGTAATAGGTAGTATTTTGTACTCTTAACATAGTGTGGGCTGAAACATTTTTTTAACCTTATTGAGGAATAATTGACAAATATTGCATATATTTAAGGTGTACAACATGATTTGATACGCATATACATTGTAGAACGATTACCGAGATCAGGGTAACACATTCCTCACCTCATATAGGTAACTTTCTCATGGTGACAGTGCTCAAGCTCTCATGGCAGCTTTCAAGTATGCAATACATATTGCTTGTTTGTATTTTATAAGAGAAAGTTTATTTAGAGAGAACAGTCTTAAGTGTTAAATGTGTCATTTTGTGACCCTTGGTATTCATCTGAAGGAAAAAATATAAGTTCATTTCTCAGAGAATGCAACATTAATTTGTTCATTGCTATGTCCTATCGCTCAGTGACTAAATACTAAACACCAAATAAATTTGTCGAATGAATGAATAAATGTAAGAACCAACATATTTTAGTTTTAGATTTTAGCATTGTAGTTAAATAGATGCCCATAGGTGACAGTCTCTTTGAAAGAGGTAATAAGGAATGGGAAAGAAGTAATAAAAATAAACATCTGGTGTGATGCAGTAGGAGATGGGCATGTAAAGTGGAAATAGATATTCTTTAAAGAATTAGTTTTCTATCTCTATTACAACTGTTCCTTTTCTACAACACTGTTCTCTCGCTCTCTTTAATTACAGTGCCTTTGCTACCCTAGAAGAGGAGGCTTGTACAGAACTTGTTCCTTACCTTGCTTATATACTTGATACTTTGGTCTTCGCATTTAGCAAATACCAACATAAGAACTTGCTCATTCTTTATGATGCCATAGGAACGTTAGCAGATTCAGTAGGACATCATTTAAACAAACCAGTAAGTATTATGGGGAAAAAGAAAGTATGTGGCATGGTTACAATCAATAGGTTAACATGTATTTGGAAATTAAAATTTTGGGGAGATACCAACACAGTGTTTACTACTTTAAGAAGGCAGCAACGTGTATTAATTTCCTAAATAGTATTTAAAAAAATAAATATGTACTTGGTGTGGTAATTGCATAGCACTTTGTAAAGTAATTAAAGGGAAAAAGGAGTAGAGGTTATATACTCTGTAAAGTTTTTATAACTTTTACTTAATTTCAAAGTGGTGGTGTTTTTTTTTATCTAACACTTTATAAACACTGTAGCTTTAGAGTACCACATCTAGGCATCTTTGTTTTCTCACTGAAACTTACAACTATGGGGAATACACTACATAAAACTACTAGAAATTGGGGTAATAGCTTACAAATGTAAATAGCGGTAGAGCAAAAGTATGACTAGGGAGCTGAACTCTGTCTCTGGTAGTGTTCAGAGTAGAAGAGGATGAGATTGGATTTGTAATATTAAAATTTTAATATGGTTCAAAATTCCCTGCTAGAGAATAGATTTTATTTTTGAATGCTATATGGAAAGTCCTAAGAAATTGTTTGTTCATTAGTTATACTTAAAACTTGATGCAATGATTTGCAAAACTTGGTTAATGGGTTTGCTTTGTGATGTCAGTTGGTTTGGTTGGGTTGGGTTGGGTTTGGGGGTGTTTTTCTGAATGTCTTAGATTAGACCTTTTAGCATCAGTGCCCCTTGTTCACATTATTACATTTATTTACTCAATTTTATGATTTATTTAGTTTAAATAATGAGACTTAAATGATTATGAATCTTTTTCTACAAATGCCTCTGCTGTAAGGTGAACCTGTCTTGTAGACATACTATACAAGTAGAACTATTTTATGTGCTACAGGCCCCAGGACTAAAAAATTCAGACACTAAAGAGTAAAATTATATGAGTCATCCCTGATTGTGATCAAGTAATTTTTATATATGTGTATAAATTTTGTTTCAAAAAGGATATAAGATGACTTAAAAAAAGAATAAAATTGTGTAAATTAAAAAGATAGGCAAAATAAATAAAAATTTTAAAGGTGCAAAGAGGGTCTCAAAATACATTCTGTAATCATTTTACACAGTTACTGTAAATGGATTTAATTTTCATAGACTCAAAGTGAACTTGTTTGCATATAATGGTGGAGCTTTATGTGTTTCTCATCATTGTAAATAGGAATATATTCAGATGCTAATGCCTCCGCTGATCCAGAAATGGAACATGTTAAAGGATGAAGATAAAGATCTCTTCCCCTTACTTGAGGTATGCTATATTATGTTTTCCAACCTGCCCTTCTTAATTGATAATAAATTGTGGAGGTCTTTTTGCATCATGTACCTCTATCTCTACTTAATTATATTTCTTGATATAAATATGTAGCTACACCATGGCTAAACCTTGAGTAATGCGGGTTTGAACCATGAGGGTCCACTTACACACAGATATTTTCCCATAAATGCCCGTACTGTTTCTGATTTACGTTTGGAAGTCTGGATGTAGAGGGGTGACTAGGTACATTGCTCTGCCCCATTGTATATAGGGAACTTGAGCATCCTGAGATTTTGATATTCTAGAGTGTGATCTGGAACCAATCTTCTGCAGACCAAGAGACAACTAAGTTTGCGGGGAGTGAAAGTTATATGCACATATTCAGTTGTGCCAGGGGTTTAGTTCCCCAAACCCCCACATAGTTCAAAGGTCAACTATAGTTTAATATTCTAATATTATATATTTATATAATATTACATTAGATACATATACTCACATGTAGGTGAATCAGCATTGGGACTCGATGTTAGTAAGGAGAGACTTCACTTTATACCCTTTATGTCTAGTTTGAAATTTTAGTCTATGTGTACTAAATAGTTTTTTAACCAAAAAGAAATTTTATGTGATAGTTCAATAACTAAACACACTACCAGATGTGGTAACTTAAGCCTAAATGACTTGACTTTTTACTGGTAGAGCCAGTTCAGTCATTGTCATTCTTGTTCTGCCTATTATTTCAGGGGTCACCACTTCTGCCATGGATTGTCCCTAGCCAGAGAAGTAAAAACTTCTGTGACCAAGAAAATAACTAATTCTGGGCCTAACAACATAAGAAGAGTTACTATGGCTAAATCTTTTTTTCAGGCAGGGGCTCAGGATGTGCCCAGTAAAGTTCACCTACATGACAGGTGGCAAACACAAGGCCAGCGGGCCAAATCTGGCCCTCCACCTTGTTTTATCTGGCCCGGCACCTTGTTTCTACCCAGCGTCAGCACTGAGCTCCTTGGCCCTATTAAGGAGTAGTTACATTTATACAGTCCTAAAATTACATTCGGCCCTTCGAAGGCAACTGCAAGGCTGATGTGGCTCCTGGTGGAAATGAGTTTGACACCCCTGACCTACAGCATTGACAAGGATGGGAGGATAAATAAATATACCTCTTATATTTGAGGGGTGGGGGGAGGAATGCATACACTTAATCTGTTCTCGAAAGATCACATTCATTATAGAAACATTTTTACTTTTTTTCTGAGGAAACCTCCCCTGACCAGCCAGCAAGCTTGACAGCAGTAGATGGCACACAAAGGGGAGATTTGAAAAGAAACTGCTGCTGTAGCCTCGTAGAGCAAGCCCAGAAATAACCAGGGTCTTAATTAGTACCCATAGAAGCATTTCTTACAATGTTAACTACACCCAGAAATTTCACACGTGCACTTTATTTTTTTCTAGTGCCTGTCTTCAGTTGCCACAGCCCTGCAGTCTGGCTTCCTTCCATACTGTGAACCTGTATATCAGCGATGTGTAAACCTAGTACAGAAGACTCTTGCACAAGCCATGGTATTTAAAAATTTTTGTATCTCTCCCTTCTTGGCATCGTAAATGTTTTTCTAAGGACAGGTATAATGTATACAAACTATTTCAATAATTGATTTAAAGGAAGTTTTTAAAAGAAAATTGTGTCTAATTTCAGCTGAACAATGCTCAACCAGATCAATATGAAGCTCCAGATAAAGATTTTATGATAGTGGCTCTTGATTTACTCAGTGGCCTGGCTGAAGGACTTGGAGGCAACATTGAACAGCTAGTGGCCCGGAGTAACATTCTAACACTAATGTATCAGTGCATGCAGGTGAGACTGGTTCAATTATAACGATTTGAAACCTGGTTCTCTGGGTCACATTGGGGTTAATTTCTTCTTATTTCTTGTAGGATAAAATGCCAGAAGTTCGACAGAGTTCCTTCGCCCTGTTAGGTGATCTGACAAAAGCTTGCTTTCAGCATGTTAAGCCTTGTATAGGTATGAATGTTTTCTACTGCTATGATACGATTTTTAACATCAGCTGTATTTTTTATTATTAAATTGTAATTTCATGGAATCCCAACATTTATAAACATACATTTGTTAAAGATGCTCTAGTTGAAGCAGGCAGGATGGGAACTTCTTTGTTGTCTTGAACTCACTCTTTTAGGCAGCAGCTTGTTAGGCAGTCATGTGACTGGAGAAGGGTTGGAGAAACATTAATTTAGAGTAAAGGACATGCCCGCCTTTGAAGCCCCAGGGTACTGTGTGCATAGTTCATGGATGCTTTTTGAATAGTTTTGTTTTGTTTTTTTCCTTCAGTGGAGGTATCCAGAAATAATAGGTTTTCTCATGATAAAGCAACATAGGTTTTTAGATATCATGGGAAACTTTTCAGTTTACCTAAAAAGTAAATGATTTGTTCCTGTTTTAATATCATAGCATTTGTCTTGGCCTTCTGTGAAAATAAGAAGGGATTCTTTGAATGATGTAACCTGACTTGCATCAAAACCCATGAATTAAAGGGTACTTTAGGGGTTTTTCCCCGTTTTGGAATCCCATCATTTTGGATGATAGTTGAAGGTTTTATTTATTTGTTGCTGGGGGCTGGGAGGAAGAGAAACGTTGATCGGTTTGCAAGGTGATGCCCATGCCATTGAGCCACACCAGGCAGCGCTAAAAAGTTTTTTCATTTCATACAGTTGCTTTAGGGTTTTTCTTGACCAGTTTTATTGAGATATAAATGACACAACATTCTGTAAGTTTAAGGTACACAACATAATGATTTACACCTTGTGTGTGTATTGTGACATGATTAGCACGACATGTTTAGTTACCATCCATCCCCTCACATAGTTACAAAGATTGTTTCTCCTTATGATAAGAACTTTCAAGATCTGCTCTCTTAGCAACTTTAAAACATACAATACAGAATTATTAACTATAGTCATAATGTTATATATTATACCCCCAAACTTATTCTTCACCCAATTCCCAGTTGTACTTTTGAATAACTAACTGTATTTCTGAACTTTGAGTAGTAACACTAACTATGATGTATTAAAACAAGTTATCAAGTTCCAGCCTGACTACCCTAAGTGAAAGTGTGATGATTTCTTGTTTTACAAGACTTGATCAGTCATGTGTCCCCTCTTTAGAAGGTACACAGTGTCTAGTTGTTTCTTTTTTATGTTATCAACCATAATGATTATTTTCTAGATTATCAATTCTTAACCAGGGCCATTTTTTGCTCAGCCTCCTCCCACAGAACATTTGCATTTTGTTTAACACTGGGGGTGTGTTACTGCTTCGTAGTTAGTGCACAGAGGCAAAGGATGTTGCTCAACATCATACAATGCATGTAACAGCCCCCCCCACACACACACACACACAAACATACACACACAACACTAGAATGAGGTGGCCCAAATTATCAGTATTGCTAAAATTGAGAAACCCTGATTTTAGACCCACTAATTAATTAAGGGTTTTTTTAAATGCTATTCTAATTCTTCATTTAATAGTGAAAATACATATATAGAGACATTTTCCATGTCAAATTATTTTCCTGAAGTATGCATCATGCAGGAGAGGCAAAATTGTTTGATATTTTTTTTCTTTACCGGTTTTCAAAATAATGAATTGATTCCTAGCATCCTCTACAGGTATCTATTTGATGTTTCAGAGTTTAGTTTTTGTGTTTGTTTTTTGAGTGTCAGTGTGAACTCGGTGATACTCATTTTCCTACCTGTAGGCATTGGGAGCTTAAGTTGGCTCCTGAGTTTCCTCTGGGGTGATGAAATAGCCTACATTTGTTTGGTACATTTGCTGCCTTTCACCTACAATGAAACATTTCTCTGAGAGCCCCCATTCCTGTTAAGTGGAAAATGATGTTTAGAGACCACAGTCTGATCACTAGGGTAAAGGTTATTTTAAAAACCAAAATTACTGATTTTTTAAAAAATTGTGCATGTGAAAAACTAGGTTTGAAGAAAATTCTAATGTATCATGCTTTTCTTACTTTTGAGTTTTCTCAGTCTGGTGACAAGAGAGAGTACTCTGACCAATTCCTTTTAATGAGATCTGAAATATACCAAAACTTAATGTTTTCTGGTCTACTTCACATGAAAGTTCAGATACTGCCTCTCAGTTTCTTAAGATAAATATTTACCAATACCTTTAAAATACTGCTATTTCCACCTAGTAGATTATCTTGAAAGCACAATACACTGCTGTTGATAAGTTTACTACATAGTTTTTAAAACTTTTTTTTTTCTAGCTGATTTCATGCCAATATTGGGAACCAACCTAAATCCAGAGTTCATTTCAGTCTGCAATAATGCCACTTGGGCAATTGGAGAAATCTCTATTCAAATGGGTAAGATTTTTTTTCTTCTTTAAAAGTGTAAATTTTTAGATAATTTAATTTTTTGTGTGTTTTGCTTTTAAATTGAAATGAGTTATATATATTTATAAATAGCTTGTGTCACAGTTAATAAAGCAAGCAAAATTGCTATTTTAACATTGAAATTTTTCTTTTGTTTTTCTCTTTTGGGGATGATCTAGGTATAGAGATGCAGCCTTATATTCCTATGGTGTTGCACCAGCTTGTAGAAATCATTAACAGACCCAACACACCAAAGACGTTGTTAGAGAATACAGGTACCATATGACTGAACTATTTTGGTGAAGAGCCAATTAGTTACCTTTGAATTTTAAATTAAGATGCGTAGAGAAACCAAAGCTAGCTTTAGAAACCTAGTTTATTATTAACAGCTATTTTGGATCCTCATTAATAAAATGTACTGTTTTAGTTGCATTCCATAACACTTTTCTCCCCTATTCTTGTGTTTTAATATGTCTTATAATGGACCCCAGCTAACATAACTTTGAAACAATATGAATTTTACTTTTACATTAATTCCAAGAGTAACTGGGAGCTGAGAAGTAATGATTTTTTTTTTCATCTGTAAAAATGTGGCCAAAAGTAGATAGCAGTGTAGTAACTAATTGGTTTACAATGGCACATATACATACGTATTTTCTATTTTGTTGTACACTTTCCTTCAAATTGGGAACTTAAGCAGTACCTTGTGGGATTTTTATTCAGGAGGCTTGTTTCTCTTTTGCATTTATTGAGAGCATGTTTATATTAAAGAGTACCTTCCATACTATAGAACACATTTCAGGGTGATTTCTTTCCACCTTCTTCGACTTTGCTAATAATGATAAAAGAGATAAATTTTGTTTTCTGTCAGACACATCTCTTTCTTTATGCACTAAGATAATTCCAGTAAATATTCATAGTCTTTGAAGGTCTTAACAAATACTGGACAAAGATTAAAAAAGGTTTTTCTAAATAAGAAAACTTTTTTCAAGGGCATTTTCATTTATATTTTTTAGTTATGGGAAGTTTATTATATCCTAATATGATTAAAATGGATATGTTTATTGGTATGGAAGGAAATCTTTTAATTATGAAACAGTTATATGGCTGTTTGGCTGTATGGGTACTGGTTATATCATAAAGTTAATTAGATTTTCTTGCTGAAAAATACAAAAATCTATGTGTAGGGTGGTTATGGAATCTTGTCAGGTTTTTGTCTCTTTAGAATGCAGTACCTATACATGACATTCAGATTTGGAACACTTGCCGTTATAAAATTACTGTTGAACCTAAAGAAACTTCCTATTTATTTTTAAATGTGAATGCATAACTGCAAATAAATGTTGAGTGTAATGTATATTAAAGTTTCTTGTGGGATATCAGCTGGTAAATTTGTTATAGTTCCTTTAACAAATTGGCTTTATCTATAAGATTATATTCTAAGTATGATTCTACCCTAAATAAATTGGAAGGTAGTTGATAATATCCTTCAAATTGATTAATTGAATTATATGATTAAGAAACACATTTGGCATTCACTGGATTACTCTTAATACAAGTGGCTGCAGAAAATGTTTTCTTTATTCCTTACCCAAAAGGGGAGGAGATAATTATTAAGTAAAATCATTGTCAATGGCTAATATCTACAGATTTTAGCAACTTAATTACTATTATCTTAATATTTCATAAAGCCAGTTCCTTGGTGTATGCAGTTACTTGCTTTTTTCCTGATTACTATATCCTACACTGAACTTTTTCAATGGACCATCATCTGCTTTATTGCATGTTTCATTGGATTGTTCATACTTGCCTGTTTAATGAGAATGTTGCGTAGTTTGTGTCTTTTGAACATAGGTTTTCTTTCTCTTGCTTCATATGAATCTGCTGGATTTAGTATTATCTGTGTAGTTTGCTTCAAGTAATCCTTAAACATTTTTCTTTACCCCCCCACCCTTTTTTTATGAAAGGTTAACCTGTAAGTTTTTGAGAGAACACCATTAAAGCACTTCATGGTTTGTTTTCTGTTTGTATTTTTTTTTCCCCGTTGTGTATAAATGTATTTATATGTATGTACCTTTGAATTGCAGAATGCAGTTCTGAGTTGCACTTTAGACCTTTTAAGTTTAAGGACTTCCCTGAATTTTGATGGTGAATATATGTTTAATGGTGAATATATGATTAATTCCCATTTTACATAGAATATTAGCATGTAATCAGTACAGTGTTTATCTATTTTGTGCTGTGTCTTTTATAGTAAGGACAGAATATTTGTTCCTTTGGTCCCGTATCACATGTCATCACAGTGGACTGTCTGAATTTCCTTTATGTCAAATGTGGTATGAAATTAGCAATTTTTGAATCCATTCAGTGTGTACCATAACACCTAAAATTTGACAGTTGATTTTGATAACAGGCAACAAATAGTCCACTGGTTTTTTTCTCTTTTTTTGATTTTTGGAAATGTTAACAAACAAAAAGACTTCACCAAAATTTGGATAAATTTCTAGATAATTTTCAAAGAATAGAAATCACTTATAAAAACAGATGTGGAGAAGTGAGAAAGAAATTTTAACTGTTTTAACTGAAAAGTGTGTTTGAATAGACAATTCAGAAATGTAGTCATTCACATTTACTAGTATATCTTGAGGGGGGCATAGATTTCATTATTAAATTCTGAAATTTGAACTATCTTAGAAGAACGTCTAAATCATCCATTTAATCGCTCATCTTATTATTACCAGAAAATATGTTATATTGACACTTCATTGAGCGAGAAAAGCAATTCATCATGGTTTTTGGTGTTCTCTCAATGTTTAAAGTTTTTTTAATTCCTTTTGTTTTTCCTTTTTCAAGAGTATGCCATATATGTTGCTGCCCCTTATTTTAGGGGGTGGTAATAAACAGCACTGGTGAAATCTTATGTTTATTATCATACACAAATTCTGTTGGTTTCTGTTTCTGAGTTATTTGTTGTTTTTTCTTTATTTTTTCTCCTTCCCCCTCATTTGCTCATGTCTTGGTTGGCGTTTGGTGGTGTATAACCGTGATTGCGTTACCTTAGCAATAACAATTGGTCGTCTTGGTTACGTTTGTCCTCAAGAGGTGGCCCCCATGCTACAGCAGTTTATAAGACCCTGGTGTGTATTATTCAATCTTTTTTTTTAATTCATTTTCCTTCACTCTTTCTTTCTCTTTCTATCTCACTTTTAGATATATTTTCAGTTGGTTACAAAATCACAATCCTTAATCATTGCCAACCATGTGACTAATCTTGTCCTATCAGGTTTGTGAGGTTTTCAGTAGCATCGTCATGTATATTTATTTTATGTTGTGGCTAACGACTAATTGATGCATGGGATAAGATTGTCACATGCTTGCTGTGTTACAAAGCTTGATTATATATATAAGGCATTTAAATATCCACCAATAAAATAAAAATGCATGCAAATTCTATAAATTTAGGTTTTTGCATTGTTTCTTTCTTAGAATTAATTTGAAAACTTGGATTGCATTAAGAAATACATGTTTAAATTTGTAATGTATAAAAATCTTATTTGCTTGATAATATAAAAGTCAAACATCTACACCATAAGTTCTGAAATAATAGTTTATATTGTGGCAGTATATCGTATATTCTGCTTCTCTCAGTTGATAATCTTTCAATTCAAGTCATTTATAGTAGTGTTTAATGGAATACAAGTCAAAATGCAGTTTTCTTTTAATTGGTAATTTACTCTTAGCTAAAACTCATTAATAGTTTAAATGGGAGATTAAAATCAGAGAGTTGTCCATAGATGCAATCTATTAATAAGAAAATGTGAATATCAAGGCTTTCACTGTTTGGAATTAGATGGGCCCACATACAGGAAGTGTGAGAAACTTAAGCTTTATGAAAATTCTTTGAACATAAACATTATCCTGTGGTGCTTATTCCATTAAATACTGTCCATTAGTATTGTAATTGAACCTGCTTCTTAATTAAATGCTAAACTGTACTCTATAATTTAATAGGTGCACCTCTCTGAGAAACATAAGGGACAATGAGGAAAAGGATTCAGCATTCCGTGGCATTTGTACCATGATCAGTGTGAATCCCAGCGGAGTAATCCAAGTAAGACCTTCACCAGATTTTGTTCTTAATTTGTAATGTTCTGACTAATGAAGTTTTGAAGGGAAGGAATGTTTTAACACTTTTATTATTAAAATATTACAACTTTTCAAAGATACTAAAACAAATGATATATTTAAAATGTTGTGTATTTCCTAATATCCTGAAATGACAGTGCCTGTTTTTTATCTCCTAAATCTTTTTTTTTTATTTTTTTTTTTATTTTTTTTTATGAAACATAGAAGTAGAAGATTGGGAGATAAAGTTGCATTCTTGTATTGAATTAAGCCAAAGCTTCTTTCATTCACATTTAGACCTACCTCATTTATTCACTTTGTATATGTTTCCCATCCCTGAACATCAGTTTGTTTAGGTTGAGGACATCTATACTTTAGAGAGTGAGCAAATGGTAGGATACTCTTTTTGTTACTTGGTATCAAGCTTAAGAAATCACTTAGTAGTGAATAAAATAGAATACCAAATCAACCATTGAAACTGCTTTGTTTTTGAGAGCTTGTAATTTATCTTACTTTGTTTCCTGTCTTAGTTCTTATTATATTTAGACAATTTTGGCATTTAAGAAATATTTAGCAATAGTGTCAAGCATGAGTCTGATCAAACCCCTGGATTCAACTGCCAATTTGCAACACACAAAGTAGGAACATGTTGACTGATACCATGTATATGTTCCACAGACTACAACCCCCAGTTAAAAGCCCCAGGTTCCTCAATAGATCTTTGTAAAGGGGGAGAGTATAAGCACGGTTTTCAAGAAAATGACCTTCCACTTCAAAGAGATGGGTGCTTTGACCATTTTTTAATTGAGACCTTTTGCTATTTCCTTCCTGGTACTAATTACTGTGTTGTTTAATTCAGATTTAGCATTACCAACTTCTAAATTTTAAATTAATGTAGGTGTTAAGCACTGAAAACTTAGAAATTAGAACTGGAAAACTTTTTTTTACTAATTTCACATTTGTAAAAACATTAATAATTTACTATTAAAATAAGCCAATACTATCTTTAGAGATGGTCCCTAGCTGCAAAATAACCTCCTAGTATTAAATTTTCTTTTTGTCCAATATTTCAGAACTTTGTGTCACCAGAAATGTACTTTAGAGTTATCATATCATGTGTACCATGTTAAAAAGGAGCATTTCCCACAGGGGTTTTAGTTACCTTTTTTTTGAGTCAGTGTGTGGAGTAACACGTGTATATGGTGTATATGAAGTTGGTCTACCAACTTCAGAATTGGTAGAATATTTCTACTTTTTTCTTTTAAAGATTTTATTTATTTATTTTTAGAGAGGGAAGGGAAGGGGGGAGAGAGGGAGAGAGAGACACACACACCAATGTGCAGTTGCTGGGGGCCGTGGCCTGCAACCTAGGCATGTGCCCTGCCTGGGAATCGAACCTGCAATGCCTGGTTCACAGCCCGCACTCAATCTACTGAGCTACACCAGCCAGGGTGAAATTTCTACTTTTTACATGTGTATTTAGATATGGTTAAAAGAAAATGTCTAAAGGGTTTTCTGTTTAAATTTTTAATTGCAAATTCTAGAAGTGTCTATGTATGTTTTTTAATATCATACTTTGCTATTTGGAAGACATAATTTGAATAAACCATAAACTTGAGGTGCATGGGATTTTATTTTCTTAATATTAATAAATTCTGAAATTAATGAGGTTTTCCAAATTTAATAATAAAATTTAAAGTAGTTGACATGTCAGGACATCAGCTGTATCTTGAATTTTTTCAGTATGATAGTCTATACTTAAAAATACTTAAGTGAAATATTTAAAGCATATACCTTTCATCACCTTGTTCTTAATAGTCAGAATAACCTGATTATCTTCTAAGCATTTAGCATTAGGTTTTTATTCTTTTTGTTTCATTTGGGTTGGGTTGAGTTGGGTTAGTTATTACTTGTAGGTACGTAATTAGTTTTTCTAACTTTGGTCATGTCATTTAAGTTTCTACCTGAAGATGGGTCTGGAAATTTATAGCTAGTAATTCCTGTACTTCAAATCAAGTTTATTTGGTGTATGCTTTTAACTAACTTTAGATTATTTTTAGGCTACTCAGAACTGAGTAGATTATTGGATTTATATAATTCTTTAATCTGATAAGTGAAGGCTTTTTTAATTGATGCTTTCAGTCCATTGCTGATGTTATATTAGACAGGTTTTGTTTTATGATATAAAATAGAATACAAAAGGGCATTAAGTATAAGCTGAATTAGCAGAGGTTTATTCATGATAGAGGTAATAAAAACAATCATTAAGCAATTGCTTACGACTTTTATGATCACAGTTGAATTTTGTTTGTTTTAGCTAGGATTCTATCATGATATATATTCTGAAGCTTACATGTTTTTTTTTCACTTGCTTGACACACATAAATCAATCTAAAATATATTTATTGCCTATTACAGGATTTTATATTTTTTTGTGATGCTGTTGCATCATGGATTAACCCAAAAGATGATCTGAGAGACATGTTCTGTAAGGTAACTAAAAAGGCTTTATGATACATATCTTGGGATTATTACTGTCCTAGTTGGAAAGTTTGAGTTATTTTTATATTTCATATGAAACTAGGCTTTTCAAATCAGTATTGGTAGACTTATAGCCTATAATGTTTGTTCTAAGGAAAAAAGTTGGCTTGATCTTTCCTTAAGATACAATGACTATCAGTAGAGAGTACACTTTGAAAATATTTTCCAAAGCAGGCCATTATCCCATCTGTGCAAATTAGTATATGTATTTTCAAAGTTGGCTGGCTGGAATGTAGAGTATAATATAAACTGTTGAACAAAGAAAATCCAAGTGGTCTCCACAGAGATTAAACCTATGTAGTAGTTCTTTATTTTAGTAGTACCCTCCTTTTGATTAACTGTAGTAGCTGGCACTCAGCTGTAACAAAGCAAGAAGTACAATACTGTTACACATTTTAATCACTTAATAATAAAATTAGTGACCTATATTCGCAGCCCGGAAGCCAAAGCTTTGTATATTTCCAACTTAAAAAACTTAGTATGGCACAGAAATTTTATTCCTTGGGTGAATTATATCCTTTTTTGTTTGTTTTTCATAAGTATAATGTCAGAGATTGCTTAGTCAACAAACATCTGTTACTAGGACACTTGCTCAGTTCTAAAGCCCTCAGAACAAAGTTGAGCATTTTCAGTGAGATGTCTTTAGGAAAACATGGAATGGTGTATAATCCAGTAAAGTTTGAGAATTGCTACTTTAAAATGGTTAAAATTTTATAATGATAAAGTCAACAGTGTTTGATTTCTGAAGCTATGAAGATCTGAGTTTTTATCTTTTGTTTTTGATAAATTAATCTACAGCCATACCACCCTGAATGCACCCAATCTCATCTGATAAATTAAATTTTTTTTTTTATTCTTTGCAGATCCTTCATGGATTTAAAAATCAAGTTGGGGATGAAAATTGGAGGCGTTTCTCTGACCAGTTTCCGCCTCCCTTAAAAGAGCGTCTTGCAGCTTTTTATGGTGTTTAACCTCATACATTTAAGCTGCAGTTCCATAATTAGGGGTAAGTTGTGAGTAGTTTGGAATTTTTCAGGATAAAGAAAATTAGGATTGCAGTCTAAAAACTACTGAACAGAATAGAGCTATTTGTTTTCTTTTTTTTTTCTTTTTTTTGTGTATTTTATTGATTATGCTATTACAGTTGTCTCATTTCCCCCTTCACTCCCCTCCACACTGTACACCCTCTCCCACCCACATCCCCCGCTTTAGTCATGTCCATGTGTCATACTTATAATTTCTTTAGCTTCTACATTTCCCATACTATTCTTACCCTCCCCTGTCTATTTTCAACCTACATTCTATGCTACTTATTCTCTGTACCTTTTCCCCCTCTCCTCCCACTCCCCTGTTGCTAACCCTCCATGTGATCTCCATTTCTGTGGTTCTGTTCCTGTTCTAGTTGTTTGCTTAATTTCTTTTGGTTTTGCTTTAGGTGTGGTTGTTAATAATTGTAAGTTTGCTGTCCTTTTACTATAGATATTTTTTTTTATCTTTTCTTAGATAAGTCCCTTTAACATTTCATAAAATAAGGGCTTTGTGATGATGAGCTCCTTTAACTTGACCTTATCTGAGAAGCACTTTATCTGCCTTTCCATTCTAAATGAAAGCTTTACTGGATAGAGCAATCTTGGATGGAGGTCCTTGCCTTTCATGACTTGGAATACTTCTTTGCAGCCCCTTCTTGCCTGTAAGGTCTCTTTTGAGAAATCAGCTGACAGTCTGATGGGAACTCCTTTGTAGGTTACTGTCCCCTTATCTCTTGCTGCTTCTAGGATTCTCTCCTTCATTTTTACCTTGGCTAATGTAATTATGATGTGCCTTGATGTGTTTCTTCTTGAGTCCAACTTCTTTGGGGTTCTCTGAGCTTCCTGGATTTCCTGGAAGTCTATTTCCTTTGCCAGAATGGAGAAGTTCTCCTTTAGTATTTGTTCAGATACATTTTCAATCTGTTGCTCTACCTCTTCCCCTTCTGGTACCCCTATAATTCAGATGTTGGAACGTTTAAAGATGTCCTGGCGGTTCCTAGGCTTCTCCTCATTTTTTTGAATTCTTATTTCTCCATTCTTTCCTGTTTGGTTGTTTTTTTCTTCCTTCTGGTCCACTCTATTGTTTTGAGTCCCAGTTTCCTTCCCATCACTATTGGTTCTCTGTGCATTTTCCTTCATCTCTTTTATGGTTACCTGCATTTTTTCATCTAATTTGCACCCCAAATCAACCAATTCTGTGAGCTTCCTGATCACCAGTGTTTTGAACTGTGCGTCTGATAGATTGGCTATCTCTTGGTCGCTTAAAATGATGAGTCTTGGGGCATTGATCTGTTCTTCTGTTTGAGACATGTCTCTCTCTCTCTCTCTCTCTCTCTCCCTCTCTCCCTCTCTCTCTCTCTCTCCCTCTCTCCCTCTCTCCCTCTCTCCCTCTCTCCCTCTCCCTCTCTCCCTCTCTCCCTCTCTCCCTCTCTCCCTCTCTCACTCTCTCCCTCTCTCCCTCTCTCCCTCTCTCACTCTCACTCTCACTCTCACTTTTTCGGTGAGGGGTGGAGCCTTAGGTGTTTACCAGGGCTGGGCACCCCAGTTGCTAGATTGTTACGTTGTATGTGGAGGCGGGGGCAGGAGGGAACAATGGTGGTAGCTCCATTCTCCGTGGGACCTCACTCCCTTCCCTGGGATCCTGGGTTGCGTGCTTTGCCCTGGTCCACAATCGCCGCCCCACTGGGTCCACCAGCTGCTGCTTGGGTACTCAGGGTCCACCCACTGCGATCTCACATATCCCAGATGCCTTGCGCGCTCCTGGTTGCCTGATGCGCCCAGTTCTCCCTGTTCTCCGCGTGCCACATCCCCCGCCTGGCTGCTCCTCTGTGCCCCTCCTACCAGTCTGGATGAACAGGTCTACTTCAACTTCTTGGCTGTCTGACTTCCATTCGGATAAATTCTCTGCCAGTTCTGGGTGTTATTCTGCCTCTAAATTGTTGTTGTTCTAATCTTGGTTGTGCATGGAGGTACGGTGCGTCCACCTATGCCTCTATCTTGCCGGAAGTCGAGCTATTTGTTTTCTGCAGAGGTTGAATAAATCAATCTTGTGCTATATTAGACTTTAAATTTTAAATTACTTAAGTAGAATTTTTTAGAGGACCATCAAGCAAGATACAATGCATGGTTCCACTATGAATCCTCAATAGAAAGAAATCCAAGCTGGTATGCTAATTAGGTTACTTAACATTGCTTCAACTCTTCTTTTTTTGCCCTATAAGAGATCACCACAGTATAAATAGTCTAGTTTTAAAGCATGAATTTAGTCTCTGATATATCAAGGACTTTCTGTGTAATAAGCTTTAGGGAAAACTCAAATAGAATTGGAAATGGGTTTTACCTCAGTAGCTAAGAATATGTAGTATTCAGTCTTCAACATACATTTTTATTGAGGACCTACCATGGGTCCAGCATTGTGTTTTAAACTGGGCAATGGAAAATTGTTTTGATCTGGGGTAACAGAGGGGTAAGTCCACTTGGACTTTTGTTCCTTGAGACTTTCTGTACTTGTTAAGTTGAACTAAGCAGTCTGGTCTCTTAGCCTCATTTCCTTCATTGAGTTCTTTTGAGGATTAAATGCTGTACTATATGTCATGCAAAAACTGGGTATATTGCCTGACACACTTAAGTTGGTTCAGTAGATGTTAAGGGCATGAGTCAGTACAGTCAACCAGGGGTTGCACTTCTTTAGGTTTTAGGCATAAACTGAGACATTTTACTGGAGGGCAAGAGAATATGCTCAGTGTATGTCCAGCAATTGTATAGCAAATTGAATTACCTTTTGTGTTGGAGTTTTTGCTTGCTTATAGTCTGCTGTGAGCTAGATTTTAAACCTGAAAAGATTTCAACATCCAAGTTGTCCAATTAACCTAAGAAGACAATAGAAATAGACTTGCAGCCTCTGGAATGTCTCAGACCCTTCAGTGTGGGTTGTGCCACTGGTCTTCAGTCCTACTAGCTGTTTTATGTCCTTAGCATTTTGGAAAAGTGCTTGATTCTCTTAGGAGAATGCAGTAGGTGGCATTAGGGGCCAAAAGATTCAACTGTGAACTGAGTCTCGAGCAGTTTCAGATTTATTACCTTCTCTGGTCTCTATCATATCACCAGTTATGAATTAATTGTGTTCTAAGACAAGGTATATAGTAATTCTCAGTTTTCTAATTAGAAATAAAAGTGGGTGGTATGTTTTCCTGCCTTTTTTGTATTCTTAACCTTTTTTCAGAGGCAGAGAAAAAGGGTTGCTTGTACTTCTCCACAGATGGGCTAATTGCCCTCTGTGAACTCAAATGAACTTTCATATAAATGTCCAGAGTTTGGCATGAGTGGTTATTAGTTTTGTGAAAGTTCCACTGTCAGGTACTAGTTACAGTCTCCCAGTAATCTACATTTACTTCTTTCTGTTCTTTTCGTCCTTAAAACTACTACCAACGAGCCCTAGCCAGGTAGGTGGCTTTGTTGGTTGGAGCATCATCCTGTACACCAAAATGGTTGCAGGATTGATCCTTGGTCCAGGGTGTGTTTGGGAGACAGCGAATTGATATTTCTCTCTCCCTCTCTAAAATCAATAAGCATATCCTTGGGTGAGGGTTGTTTGTTTGTTTGTTTGTTTTTGTTTTTTAACTACTACCAATGAAAAAGTCCTCAGGAAAATCAAGCATCCTTTAGAGTATAGGAAATGACTGAGTAAAATTGGGTCAGAAGAATTATTAATTAGGTACATCAAAAAGTCAAGTGTAAAATTTTACTTTCTGATAATTTGCTAAATGCAGTGGACACCTTTAGTACCTTCTAAGCAAAAACAGACAATCAAAAATAAGTAATGCTCTTTGATAATTTTTTTAGATGGATTGGATTTTTGTTTGCTTTATAGTAGGAATACTGGCAAAAAAGGATGAGTTGTAATTCTCACTAAGGAAAGTGATGGTCCTAAAAAAGTGCTATTAAGCTTGAAGAAAGTAGGCCAGCCTATTATGTGAAAAATAACTGGTTCCCATTATTGCCTATAATGCAAAAGGAGGCAAAGAATTAAACTAATAGCGCCCTGCAGGGTGCATTTTATCTATATTTCATCTGTATAAAGTGCTACACGCTTCTCTGTGCATGTCCCCAGCTTGGTGTCACTTTTTTGTATCTGATGCAGGTGACAGTTGGCAGCAATAAGAGAAAGAAGCAACGTAGTTATCACTGACTAAATGGCAATTTGTCCAATATCTCGTTTTCTTTAGGCAGAGATACAGCATTGTGATTTGATTGATTTTGTGATCCACTGACTTTAAAAGAGAAACAATTGTTAAAGTATAAAATTGTTTTCTTTTCTTACAGGTCCTTCAGTCTCGGAGACTATGAGGGAGCCTCTGCACCCAGGGAAAATGTTACCCTTTACAGGGGGGAAGGGTAAACCAGTAGGGAATACAGTACAATCCCAACCCTACTGGGAGGGGCGGGAGGGAGGTGTTGCCGTCACTGTATTAAGTCGCTGTTGGGAAACGTTTTAACATCTGGAGCCTTTGTGGGTGGAAATCTGTCTTCAGTTACAACTCCGCACTGGATGTGAAGAAGCAAAAACTATTCAGTCTACTCACAAAACAGTACATTCTGGAATATTATGGGGAATTGTACCAAAACAAGAACCATATAAATGATGCATAGAGATAAAGAGAGAGGGAAATTTCTATAGTGCACAATAAAGGAAACCTAAGAAAGGGGGTTACAAACAGTAAAGAAGCTTTTTTTATTTTTAATTTAAAATTTTTTTAATAAGTTTTCCCACACTATGGGGACTTGTTTTTGCATGCTGATAAAGAACTACACAAATGAAGCTAATAGAATTAAAATCAGCTTGCCAACCCATAGTAGAAGCAGGTTCTTGGAAGCAATTTAAGGTACCCCCCCAAAAAAAGTTGGAAATAAAAAAAAATCTAATTTAAAACAAAGAAATACCCTGTGAAATGCCAAATGAGTCACTCCTTTTACCTTTGTGGGGTGGGCAGGGAGGGAGGAATAACTGGGGTTGGACATATCAAACTAAAGATCGAACTCCTGGTTTTGCATTAAGACATTAATGTAGTGGATATAATTTGATGGTTGTACTTCATTAGATTTACTTTCTAGGCCAAGATATTATTTTTAAAGTGCAGTTTAAGGTTCAGGCATGCATTCTGGCTCATAGTGATTGAAAGTAAATTAGTGGGAAAGTAAGTAGCATGCTTGCATCACGTAGAGTGAGGTTGGTATTCATTTACCTCTGTTGCGCCAGTTTGTGTTGCAGTTTACCAATTCAATATAGCCCTGCATTTAAAATTCCTTTTTAAGATTTGTGGGTTTTATTTTTGTTAAGAATATAGATATATAAAGTACTGTAGTTTACAGCTAGGCCTTGAGATATCTTATTAGGATCTGTTAGGAGTAAGATTGATATTGTACTGTGTGTAACCTGCACAATGTGGAAAGCTGATATACCTGTGCAAAATCTTTGCCTCTGTGCTGTCAGTGTGATGTGCTTTCTGCATGGTTATATACTACTAGTGATTTTATCAAAACCGCTAAAACTCAAATTACATGGTAAAAGATCTGTAAGAGGCTGCATAAATGTTAGTTGGCACATAAAGACAATTGTAGAAGTTGAAGACATGATTGCTATATTTCAATGTTTATTCCCACTCAACATATTGCCTTCTAAGCTTTTTTTGTGTGTGGTTTTTTTTTTGTTTTTTTTTTGTTGTTGTTGTTCAAAGCATGATCTTAAAGATATGTTTAAGTTAATGGATGTAATGCAGGGTTCCTACACTGTTTTGGCGCATGTTGGTGGCCCTCTGTGCCCTAGATATATGCACACAGGGTGCAAGTAAAAAGCTACAGAGTGAAAGTTGATTTGGATCCTCTTCATTTCATTTGTTTAGCTTTTCTGTTATTTTTCTCTACTTACATGTATTCCTGTGAATAAATCCTTGTTAAGTTAACCCTTTACTTTTCCTTCCATGTGTATTTTCTTATATACTGTGAATGTGAAATCCTAACTGGTACACTTGATCTTGTCTCCATATGAAAGTGCAAGTCTTTATTAATTTGGATTGCCTGAACAGTGTATCCCATGATGATGAAGGAAAATGGAGAGATTTTTCTTTTTAACTCTGCTGGTCAGAGATGAAGCCACACCTTTCCATTTTTCAATGCTGCATATTTAATCTGCAACAAAAATGTTAAGCCATAACAACCTTTTTATATTTTAGTTTGTCACCTTTGCATTGCAGAATAAATACTGAATAACCATTTTTATAAGCAGTTGCTCCTCTTTGCATGGTTCTATTCTCCTAAAGGTGTTGAATGATACAGCCATTGCACTGAAGTTTGAGCTGTATGTGTGTGAATTTATAAATACCATTTAAAAAATTTTCAAATGCATGGCAGCATGCAGAAAGGTTTTTGTTGTGTGTGTGTGTATGTGTTTTTTAACATGTTCTTTCACCTTCTTTCCTGTACCTTGGCTTTGCAAATTTCAGTCTGTAGAGCCTGAAATTAAATATTTTCTTACCCAGTTTTTTAAAATTATACGTTGGATCCAAAGGGGACGTAGCATTTTTTTCTCTTTCTAGTACCATCACTTTACTGGGAGCTGAAAATTTGCTTCCAAAGTTAGTCTTTAAAACCTGATTAGGCTAGTTACTTTATCCCTAAATTCTAGTGATACTCTGTAGAGGTTTTTTTTTAATACTTCCAGAATTTAATAGGGGAGATATTTTACTATTCTAGAATAGTTAGTAAATATTAAATTGAAAGAAATGGCAAAATTTTCTAAATACTTTAAAAGAAACATAGAAACAACCTTCAGTAAAATCATTTGGACCTGTGATTCTGTATTGACTGAAAAAACAACATTGTCACCTGTTTGATTAAAAATTGGTTTCCAATTAGGAAGTTATGTCACATAGAATATGCTCATTTGATAGTCACTTCACTTGTTTTTAAATTAAAAGGAAATTTAATTTAAAAGAAAAATTAGTAAATGTGACTGGCAACCTGAGGTTAGGTTGGGTTTCTGTATTCCCCCTCCCCACCCCTTTGAGGGGTTTTCCTAATTGGTATTTCAGATACTTAGTATAGCATAGGAATTTGCAGAAGCCATTTAAGTTATCTTTTGGGTAAGCTCTGATTTGCCATTTATTGTTCTGATAAAACAGTACATCATGGGATATATATATATAAGCAACTTAATTCTTGTGGTGTAGTCTTAATAGTTTTGAATGTTGGCTGAATGTCTATGAAATTGTGAGATTGTCTTTGTTACATTCCAGTGTTTCTGCCTCTTGGCATGCTTGAAGCACGGCTTACTTCATCAGCTCCTTACACACTAAAGTGCTGTTAGTGTGCTCAACTACAGAAATAGCCGCTGCTAAGTGATGTAGATTTTCTACTTGAATATTTTTATGTTGTAGGAACCTCAGGAGGTCAGTGTTTACTGTTTTATATATGCCTTCTTTTTTCCTGTTTGAGCTTCTCTCTTTGAAGGATTCTAACAGAACAAAAGCTGCTGATCAACCTAAGTTGGAAACAGAAAGTGTATTTAATATAATTTAAATGCATGTTTGGCAGTTCCATGTTTTAGTATTAGTAAGTAAACTTAGTGCCACAGATACTCATTTATTCAGGAAAGAATTTTGCTTTTTGTATTGTCTAATCTCTTTAATAACTTCATACTATGTAAAAAAAATCACTTTTTTATATTTTTTGGTTGATTATTTCCCAAATAGTCAACATGTAAATAATCTTTAAGAGCCAGTTCTAATGCTTTACATTATTGCTACTTGATTTTGTGATGCAAGTTAGATTTCAGAAGAATAGATTTTAAAACACTTAACCAAGCCATTACATCTTTAAAAACAAAATAAGTAGCATACATTTTGTAACTAACATATTGGTAAACACTGTGATTTTTTTTGTTAAGACTTTTTCATTGATCTGAATTGCTTAAATTGCATATATTGTAAAATAGTATCAGATGTATATTTTAAAATAATTTCAACTGACTTTCCTCTATTGAAATGCTTTGTCTACTCAGTTACACAATATTCAGATACAAGTTTTATCTCAGGTGAATACTCTTGTATCCTTTTTGCTTTGGTGACGTGTGCTTATAAGGGGTCATCATACTTTTATTCTTAGTTTTTTAGTGTATTTCATGAAGAATCTTCCCATTTAGTCTGATTTTCCAGTCCTTATTCTAGCAGACTAGGGTGGTATAAATCCCTCCTGTCAAGCCTTTTGCATGTATTGTAGGTTCACCTTGAAAGTGAGTTTAAATTAGTCCTCCTTTTCTTCAAACCCTCAAGATAGGAAAGTGGAAATTTTTCTGTCCTGTACTAAATTATCCTGCATAACTGAAATGCCAGAATTTAATTGTCTTAAACCCTTTGGTCTAAATTTAACTGAAATAATTTGCCATAAAGAAAAAAAGTGTGGGTTTGGGAGGGGCGGTTTTGGTTTGGTTTGGTTTGGGGTTTTTTTTCTTTATATGATTAATATATTATTCATATTGAATGTATTAACAGATAACGGTGCAAAATCATTCTTCCCAAGAGAAGAGTGTATCATGCATAACTGCAATTAAAATCCTTTCTTTAGTAGTACCTTAAAATACATACAGCTTTGCTTTTTTGAATTATTTCTGCAAATAATACAAGGGGGGAAACACTAACTGTTGATTTTAGTACTGTTCTTGAAGTGTAGGCATTGAAATCTTTGAGAAAACTGGTCTTCAGATTGTTAAAAGCCCAGGATAATCTAGATGAAAAACCAGATCCATAAAGAACTGTGTGACGATACTATCTAGTAGTAATACCATGCAAGAGCATTGTATACCTACTCAGTACCTTTCAAACTGTATTAAATATGAAGATATTTCTAATGCCTCTTAAAAATTAAATTTTACATAAAATGTTTCACTTGAATGCTCTCCAGGTGACTTGTGACTAATTTTTTCAGTCTCATGTAGATCTTTTCCCCTATTGGTATTGTATGTATAGAGTTCTTTATCTTTATGCCTAATTATTATACATATTAATTTTAAGGTATGTGTTTAAATTATAGCAACTGTTTGTTGGTGATTTGTATCCCAGAATGTATTGTTTTTTTAATGTATGCATGATTTTGAGGGAAGTTAAATGATTTTTTTCTCTTCTACATTTAAAACCAAATCAATTTGCCAAGCATTATATCATTAATTAGGAAAAATTGTTTTCCCTTTCATTAGAATTTTTGTTTATCATAGAATCCCTCTTATGCTATGGCTTGGTATTATGCAGAATTAGCTATTTTGCAAGTCTCATTATCTTCCTGAAAGCCGACTATAGTATGGTTAGCCTACAAGGCAATGTTGGTCCCCTCCTTCTATAAGCCTCGTAAAAGGGTTCTGCTGTACTTTGACCATATTCATTACTGTTTTCCTCTGTGGATATATAACCAAATTAAGGGTGGATGATTTTTTTTATGGAGATAATAATTAGACAATACTGTATAATTTTACTTAATAGATTATCTGTGAGAAGAGATGTTTAAACATGGTTAATGATTTCACTTCATATTATAAAAACAGTTTTACACTTAATATTCATGTTAACATTGGGTGCAATAATTTAGTAGTTTTAGCTTTAGTTATAAATAACTGGATCTTTCTGCTGACAACTTAGGTTGTATGAGTTATGCTTAAAAGCTTTAAATCTGATGTTTCCTGTACCTGCCACACTATGTTAGAATGTGTCCTTCAAACATACCCTCCTGCAACTTCTCAAACTGTACTAAATTGATATTTCTTGAAGTCTAACTCTGTGCTAACAGATCTTCATTTTAAATAGAATACGGTTTTAATTTTTGATAAGCTGCTGAATTTTAAAGAGAGTTTTTTGGGGCCACCAAATATTTTGGATCATGCAGAGAATATATATTGTACTGTAGTAATTTTGTATTTTACATTTGTATGATGTGACATAATAGATGTGAATGTTAATCACTGCTTGACTATGTTAATAAAGTTGTTTAACTATAGATGTTTCTCTCTGATTTTTAATGAAGGAAATGAGCTTTCTCTCCCTCTCCCCATTTTAGATCCAGATAGGGTCTTAGGGTGTTTTTGTTGTTTGAGTTTTTTGAGGGGTTTTTTTCCTCTTAGTTTGGTGTACTCTTGCTTTTTAAATTTTTATCTGTATGATGTAGCTAAAAACTATTTTCCCCACATTTTAACTCCTACTGGTGTATGTTTAAACAGTTGATTCTAGGTTCAGCTTTTGATGGAGGGGCGGGGGGAAGATAGTACTCTGCAAAAAGAATTAAAATATGAAGTGAATAAAGTATTAGGATAGATTGCATGAATGTGTATGAATGTGTCCTGTTAAGGCATGTTTATCCCTCAAGAAATTAAGACAGTTTTGGAAATTAATATATATGAAAGTATTTTCCTCTTCAGGCTGTAATCCATTAATATAGTTGCATGTTACTAATTAAAATTGTTAATACATTTCAGAGGAAACGTGTGTATAACTAGAGTAGTTGGTTTTTTGAGATTTACATTTCTAACGAGGAAGGGGCTCCTTTCGTTGCCTGGACATGAAAGTATTTGCGATAGCTTGTTTGCGTTGGAGAGGAAGAGAAAAAAACTGAAACTTGGGTGTCATGTTCTTACATCTTCAAGAAAGAGTTTAAGACTCCAGGATTTAGGACTTAGGTTGTAGAAGAAGATAATCAAAGCCAGTCTATTAATTAGTTATTCAAGATTTGTATTTGCTCCTGTAATGTTAAAGAAATTACGCTGAAGCTGAAAATCTGTTAAGTTCAACATTTTGGTTAAAGTATAAACTTCAAGTTGTTTTTACTTTATATTATACCTGCTTTTGAACTGACGCATTTTTACATTGTAATGAGTTAACTCGATTCTAATAATTTACATGTGATTTCTTGGGAATGTTTGGAAAAGTAGCAGTTGAACTACATGGCTTTCTTTGATTTGAAACTTCTTCGTTATTATACAGTTGAATATAGAGACTGCTGAAGCTGCCATGATCATATATCAGTCTTCTGTTAACTCGATGTAAAAGAATCTCCAGAAATATCCACGTAAATCTCCAGAGTTCAGTTCAACACAAATTGCAAATTACAATTTAGAAACTAAACACAATTTCTAAAACCATTGGCAAATGTGACACGGTCAATATTGTTATACTAAGAACTTTAAGGTCTTCATGCCAGTGTGAATGGAATTGATTTCTGTGCATAAAATAGCACTATTGGTCTATTTAAATTTTATATTCTACAGTATTTTTAAGCTTATGTTGCTCTTTGAACTTCAAATAATTTAAGACAAACTAAGGGGAAGGGAGGGAGAAAGTGGAACAGAAACCTCAGTGTTCAGGAGATGCACTGATTAGTTGCCTCTCACATACCCCCAGCTGTGGGACCTGGCTGGCAACCCAGGCATGTGACCTGACTAGGAATCGAACCAGTGACCTTTTGGGTTGCAGGCCAGCGCTCAATCCACTGAGCCACACACCAGCCAGGGCAATGAGGAAGTAAAACAACAACCAAAAAAAAATTGTAAAGGTGGGCCAAGGACACTTCTCAAAAAAGAACGTACAAATGGCCAATAGATGTGAAAAGATGCTCAACGTCACTAATCATCAAAGAAGTGTAAATTAAAAGCACAATGAGATACCACTTCATGCCTGTGAGAATGGCTATCACCAATAAGTGAATTGTTGACAAGGGTAGGGAGAGAAGGGAACTGTCATGCACTCTTGGTGAGAATGCAGAGGCCACTGTGGGAGACAGAGTGGAGTTTCCTCAAAAAATTAGAAACAGAACTGCCTTTTATGACCCAGCAATTCTACTTCAAATGCATCTGAAGAAACCTGAAACACTAAAAAGGAGTGGGCAAAAGGAGGTTTACAGTTGTAATACAAATGAATAATACGAAAATAAGCTTTCACAAAAATTGTAAACCTACTTTTTAAGTCATTTTTATTTTTCAATTATAGACATATATTAGTTTCAGGTGTACACCCCAATGATTAGGCACTACATATATAACTTAACTGAGGGATCATCTCGATAAACCTTGCACCAGTATGACATCATACCTAGTTAGAGGATTGACTACATTCACTATGTTGTGCTTTACATCCCCATAACTGTGATGTAATAACCAATTTGTACTACTACATCACTTCTTTTCCACTCATCCCCTCAACCCCCATTCTATCTGGCAACTGTCAAAACATTCTCTATGAGCCTTTCTGTTACGCTTGTTCATTTATTTTGTGTTTTAGATCAATTGTTGATGGATATGTATTTATTGCCACTTTTATTCATATTAGATTTTCCCTAAAAAAGACCCTACAACAATATAATACTAATTTAGTGGTGATGAACTTTAGCCTTTTCTTGTTTGCAAGCTCTTTATCCGCCCTTTGATTCTAAGTGACAGCTTTGGTGGGTAGAGATCTTGCTGTAGGTCCTTGCTTTCATCACTTTGAATGTGTCTCACCAGTCCTTTCCAGCCTGCAAAGTTTCTTTTTAGGAATCAGCTGACAGTCTTACCAGAGCTCCCTTGTAGGTGACGGCTTTTCTGTTGTTGCTTTTAAGATTCTCTGTCTTAACCTTTTGCATTTTAATTCTGATGTGTCTTGGTGTAGTTCATCTTGTTTGGGACTCTGCACTTCCTGGACTTGTATGTCTAATTCCTTAACCAGGTTAGGGAGGTCTTCTGTCATCAGTTTTGCAAATAGGTTTTCAGTTTCCTGCTTGCTCTCTTCTTCAGGCACCCCCATGATACAAATGTTGGTATGCTTGAGGTTGTCCCACAGCCTCCTTACACTATCCTCGTTTTTCTGGACTCTTTTTTTTCTTTTTGCTTCTTTATATTCCAAATCGCTGATATGACTCTTGGCTTCCTCTACTGTTGATTCCGTATAAAATCTTCATTTCAGGCAGTGTATTTTTCATCTCTTGACTGGTTCTTTTTTATGCAGTTGAGGTTCTCAATAAGTTCATTGAGCATTCTCAGAGCCAGTGCTTTAAACTCTGCTTGTCTCCATTTTGTTTCTTTCAACCTGGGCACTCACGGAGCACTACCAACGTGGGCCATGTATACCTTCCTCATGTAGGTGAGCCTTGATTGCTGTTGGCATGTCAATGAGAAGGATTTACCCCCAGGCTGATCGGCTGCAAGGACTGGCTGGAACCACCAACCACTGATCTCAGCCACTGTGGAGGGTCAGCTGTGCAGAGGCCCACCCAAAGAATAAGACTTAATTCAGTAGGCCCTAGTGCCCACTTAGTCTTCCTTTTGAGTATGTTGCTTGTAGAGGTGGTTGGGTGGTGGTGCTTGATGTAGTCTGAAGCTGTTCACTGAATGCTGGCTCTGGGACCTCCTGGGGGGTACACCCCAAGGTTAGCTGCTGCCTGTATTCTACCCTGGACCACCTGGCATGAACTATAAAGTGATATGCAGTCGGCTGCTACTTGCGCTGGGCTTAGAAGTACCCAGGCAAGGCCAATACCAAACTAAGGCTGGTACAGGGCACAGTGAAGCCAGATGCTGCTTGTTGGAGAGATGTTAGGAACTATCTGAAGCATGAGCCAAGACAGGCCATTTGTATGGAAAAGCCACTGGAAACACCTTGGATGGGCCTGAAAGTTGGGTGGGAGGGGGCCTCCAGGAATCTCCAGGACCAGGAAAATGGTGTGAGCCAGCTTGATGGAGTCTCAGATATGGTACCCACCTGCTAGTTCTGGGTGGAGGGCTCATCAAAGGAACAATGACCTCTGCCAGCACTTCTGTCTGAGAGAAAGCTGACCCCTAGCTCTGGCCCTGATACTGGACAATTCATTTCCTTACCATAAGTCTTTGGTGCCTATCAAGGTGCTACCCCATTGCTGGAGCTCAGAAGGAGTAGTCCACATAAATCTGTGTGCTGGCCCTTTAAGAAGAGCTGCCTGGAACCCCAGAACCCTCCATCCCTCAGCCTTTTCCCTGGTGGTTTTTACAGCCAGAAGTCATGGGGACTTAATGTCCTTGCATTGGAACCTTGGGCTGTGCAGCCTAGTGTAGTGCTGGAACCCCTTGCTCCTCAGAGGGGACTTCATTAGCCAAGATACCTCTCCCAATTTCCATCTGCCACATGTGGGTGTGGGACCAGCCCCTTCTGCACCTCTGCCCTTTTTAACAATCTCAGTATGACTTCTTTAATTCTCTAATTGTAGAACTTCCATTCAGCCAAATTTCCGGTGTTCTGTGTGATGGTTGTTCTGTAGTTTAATTTTGATGTGGTTGGGGAAGGAGGAAAGCATGCCATCTTACCAGGAAGGTTGTAAACCTAATTTTGTCCACCCCTGTTTATGCACCCCTACGTTCATTGCAGGATTATTTACAATAGCCAAGATTTGGAAGCAGCCCAAGTGCCCGTAAGTAGATGAGTGGATAAAAAACAAAAAGAAAAACCTGTGTGTGGTACATTTATACAATGGAATACTACTTGGACATAAAAAAGAAGGAAATCTTAGCTTTTGCGACAGCATTGACGGACCTGGAGAGTATTATGCTAAGTGAAATGAGCCAGTCAGAGAAAGACAGGTACCATAGGATTTCACTTATGTGGAATCTAGTGAACAAAAGAAACAAACAAAATAGGAACACATAGATACAGAGAACAGACAGCTGTCAGAGGAGACGGGTTAGGGGAATGGGTGAAAAAGGTGAAGGGATAAGAAAAAAGCAGACTGTGGTGATGATGAAAACGGTGGTGAGGGAGGTAGAAGAGGTACAGGGATAAGTGGTGATGGAAGGAGACTTGGGGTGGTGAACACACTAAAATACACAGATTATACATGTATAAAATTATTACAGAATTGTACAGCTGGAACCTATATAATTTTATTAACCAATATCATCGCAATAAATTCAATTTCAAAAGTGAAAAAATTATTGAGTTGGCCAAAAAGTCCATTATGTTTTTTCTTTAAAAATTAAATATTTTTCATTTTACCAATAAATG